GTAATCTGGGGCAATAACCGCACTTGCTTTTGCTTCCGTAGTATTTAATTCGGTATATTCCCCGACAAGGTAAAGTTTGAGGTTGGCGATTCAACTTTCTTCATCTCGTGCTTGCTTTATGCGCTCCAGTCGCATCTGCTAAATCCTTTTCCTCTTGCATAATCGTGGGCACTTCACGCCTCCATCTGGCTGATCGTGTGATCGCCGGTATCCTGGCCACTTGATTGTTAGTCGCCGGTTATAATATACTGGTCCAGTCGGTTCATCGCTTGTAAACCATGACAATCCTGCTCCGTTAGTCTGACCATGCCTTTTTCCAGCTGTAAAGCGGAGCTAACCAGTTTATCGGCACTTTGATTCCAATTGCGCTTAATATGTAAAAATTCATGAGTCGGCCATGGTCGCAGTTAATCTAGGGCCTTGAGACGTAGTGACTGCAGTCCCGGTGCCTTGCAGTTAATTTCACCCCTCATCTGCCTGATGACCAGGTCGGAATCCCCACAAGTGACCACTCGTCCCCTTGTCTGCTTGGCCAACAACTCGCAACTCAGCAGCAACCAACGGTATATTGCCTCGTTCACGGTCAACCCAGTGTCGAATCGCGGCGCAGTCGATACTATAGTCCACTCGGGAAGCTTCAATATTATCGCACTGTAGGCACCCCCTTTATTCTTGGTACGGGCTGCTCCATTAAAGCTGACAACAAGAAGCAATTCTTCGCGGATGACCGTAGGGGGCGGCATACTGATAATCTGTCTCGATTGCTTCTGCTTCCTGGGCGAGATCGCGATCAGCACACCATCTACATCCTCCTGTAATGTGATACTTGCGGCAAGAAAACCAAGAATTTCGTCCTCTCCTTTGTTGCATCGGTTGATGTCCAGAGTCCAAGTTGACAGTAAAGCTGCCCATCTTCCAAGTCTCCCGTTAAGGCCCGATAATTGCATTAACACGCCAGAGTTAAAAACCGTGTGAGCACCTTAAGGTTCCGCGATACTAGTAGTGTATAACAAACATCTAATATCCGGAGCAGGGACAGGACTTCTTTTTCCACCACACCGTAGTTGATTTCATCCGGTTTTAACGTGCGACTAAGAACATAACAGGCCAATTCACTCCGTCGCGTTCTTGCAACAAAGCTGCGGATACCGCCCATTTGCTGGCATAAACCACTATCACTGGCCAATGATCAGGGTCAAAATATCTTAGCACCGGGGTCTGGGCAACTTTTGCTTTCAGCAATGTGAACGCTATCATAGCCTTTTTCCCTACGATGACCGCTCGTATGTTCGCCGTTAGACCCCTCTGTATTCGGTTGGTCACGACCATCCATCTTTGTCATTTTTTTATCACAGCTACCCACCAGCCTCTGGCCATGGTCATCGTCGATCTGGGTATCACCATACTGGTCTTGGTTTGTTGCATGACCATCCTCCGAGTTGTCCAACCGCCTAATCGCATGAAAGTCCGCCTCTCTCAATTCATACAGGTTTGAGACGTATATGGCAAAATTTTCAGTGAACCGGCTGTAGTAAATAAAAAAAAATTAAAAAAGGACTGCATTGACCGCAATGTTTGGGGAAATGGAATATTGACCAATGACCCCAAATCCTTCGGGTAGGCTTCTATTCCTGATATCGATATGTGATGCCCGAGATACTCAACTTTGCGTCGTCCCCAAACACTATAAGGTAAATTAATCGACAAAATCCACTGATCACAGACTTCCAACAGTCTGTCTACCTTGTCATGGAGGGACGTCCAGGACGACGCCAGGATCAGAATTTCATCAGTATAGGACCTCCGCCCCAACACTGAAGACTTTCGGTGCGGGTCCGGCTCGCCGTGCGTGAACACGTCAACCAGTTGTGACACCTCGCGACCACTTGATCTCCGCTGTTCGCCGATTGTGAGATACCCGTACAATGAATTATCCACCATACGCTGGTATATCTGCGGCGCCTTTTTTAACCCGAACGGCATACGTATCCATTCATACAAACCTGAAGGCGTATAAATGCAGATATCATTCGTGCTCTCTCCGTCATTTCCACAACCCAGAATCCGCTGGACATATCCAATGAACAGTACCATAGCGCTTTGTCCAGGTCCTGCAGTAGGTCGTTGATCAAGGGCATGGGATATTATTAGCCTCGTCAATTGGTTGACTCGTTGGTAATCAATACATAGTCGTACATCTACTCCATTCTTTTTTACGATCTCTACGATCGGCGATGCCCACGGCGAGGTTGAGGGACATTTAATCTTCGCCGATGGAAACCCTTTGATCAGGTCCGCCAACTTTTCAAATTAATTGGGGCGACAGGCCTCACTCGTTGTGCTATTGGGGTCGCCCCTCCCACATCTATGTCACATATCATGCCTCGAGCCGCAGGTGGGAGGGCGTTTACCTTGCCCAGCAACAAATATCTTTTCTTCCGGATCAGCTGGCGTAATTCTTCTTGCTCTTTCTTTAATGGAACCACTGGTTCGCCCACCTGTATATACTCAGTCTTCACCTCGCATAGCGTCGGGTCCACGTCCGGTAAGACTGCCATGTGTTGGCCAACATCTTCCGCGAATGATGGTCCACCTAAGTGTTGGTATGGCGTGCACTCCTGTTCTCCTTCGCCGGCGACCGCTGCTTCTTGGTCTCATAGATGGTCGGGCGGTCGATACACCTCCCTCATCCCCAACCGTAATTTTTTATTTGGGGAATCAGGGGACTTGTTTTGCATACGATCAGGTACCATATCCTTGATTAGTTCGGGAGTGAGCTTCTCTTCACACTCGTGTGGGTGCGTTTCGGACTGCTCGTGCACCAATTTCGTATGTCTTCATCGCCTCAATAGGGTTGACCAAGTCGGCGGACGTTGGTGATCGCGTAGACATTTCTCTCTGGGGTTCATTCGTTTGTTCATGCCGATCAAGTACTAAATCACAACCCGTATCACGTGTGGTGATTGCGTTAACAGCTACTGGTGATCGTTCTGGTTGCGGCCCCTCTTGATCCTCCTGGTCATCCACGTGATCACATGTCGGCACACTGCTTTGCCATTCCGCTTCCTCGCTCCCCGCGATCATCTCTACCATATCCTGTGGGGGTCGTTTTAGAATCTGCGTCGGTGTTGGGTAAGACTGGCGTTCGAACGACGGTCCTTCTGCTTCCGGTACTTCTTCTGCTTCATCTCTATATGTAGAAGCTTCGTATGCAAGTGTTTGCCACTCCTGATAACGACGTGACCCTACCGAAACATATCCGGGTAACCGTGGTATCATGTCCGCCGGCATCCATTGCCCGAACGGCGTCCCCTGTTGAATAATCACCTCTTGATCGGTTAGGTTGGTTAGGCGGAGGTACGTAAGTCTTTCGGGTCCGGTCATAGCCGGGGGGACCCAACATGCGTGGCGCGTTAATCACCGTTTCGACTGCAGTGGCCCCCGACCAACGTTGACCTCCACCGAGTCACCCACCGGTATCGCCAAATAATTCTCATCCGCAGCAATTCGTTGTATCTTCGCCCCATACGGTGATCTCCCATCTTTAAGTTCAATTACGACTTCGTCCGGCAAGCACACTGTTCCGTCTGCCAGGTCAAGGCGTATTCCAGCCGGTACCATGAAATACATCTCTAGAATTGCTTCTTGTCCCACTTGTTCACACACCCATACATCAAAGTAGTAAACCAATGAGCCATTCAACGTGATCTTCACCTTTGTGCGGCCTTCTGCCATGTACGAATTTTCTCCGATACCCACGCATTCTTGCTTCTGACTCTCATCTATGACACAGCCAACCTTTCAAGCAAAATTGGTGTCGATGATTGAGACTTCAGATCCCGAGTCAAACAATAGGGTGGCCTTCTCATTGTTTATTTCCCCTTCCACCTTTGCTTGCCTGAACCACTTGTTTGGAGTATGGTACTTCCAGTAACCATGTGATTCACCAGGAGACAACTTGAGTTCCATCTTTGTAGGTGAACGTGCGTATTCATCCGGTCGCCGCAAACTTGCAATTAATGAAAAAGAACTAGTGTCCAAAATACATGTACTGAAAGTCGGGCCGGTCGGGCAATTAACACTGTTATCAACCCCTCCTTTTTCAATGAATGCATACATGAATAGCCTAGAACGCTCGGCTCGTACCAGGTTCCAACCTGGCGAGCGTCTTAGTTTAATATCTTCTCAGCGTCGGGAGGAAGCATTCCGGCGTTATTGGTCGGCACTTAACACTTGCAAAGCATATTGTAAAATTTTCCACCGGGCAGTTGTCCCCGTCGTGCACTTCTCCACACGCTGCGCATCCGTAATGACTTGTCGGAGGGATGACCTCGGCGCCCGCATTGCTGACAAGTCAGGTGTTTCCAGCATCCCCTGTCATCAAGTCTATTGGACACACAATAAGTGCATGACTTGTGCCCCTTCTGCACGCTCGTGATCACGTTCGCGGTCGTTCAATCTTGGCTTAGTTGGACGATCATTTCCCCGGTCCTGCATATGGTCGGCTGCTGTGGCGCTGTAAAAACGTCGTTATTCTTCGTCTGATTCCGCACTGCTTACATCTGATTCCGACGAACTGCTCTCGCCCCCACGTGGATTGCACGCACAGCTCAAGCTAGTTTAGATGGACTTGGAGAGTATGGCGACGCTGATAAGCGGAAATTGCTTGAACGGATCGGGAGATTGCCTTTGCGCTTTTGCATACGTTCGTATGTGTGCAGCATTAATTTCAGCGCATTCACGTCGTCCAAACGCAGCAAGGTCTATTGCTGTGCGAGATCGTGGTCATCCAGTGTCTCGATATAGTGTTCCACGTATTCTCGTCGATCAGCGACGTTCCCGTCCTGCACGTGAATTTTGGCTCGCATCCCAGCAACGTTCAACCGATAGGAATATTCTAGCGGAGTTTCATCGGCACGTTTGCAGGCGTGGTAATACTGGCGACCAGCAGAGATGCCGCGTCCACAGTATTGTAGTAAAAAACTCTCCAGCAAGTCTTTTCACTTATTGCGTGTCGATCGGCTCAGCTGGGAGTACCAGTTTCGGGCTGGGCCTGCTAGCAAATCTCCTAAAACCAAACAGTTCCTCGAATCGGGGGCTTGGTCACGCAAGAAAGCTGATTTGACCTTTCGCACCCAGCTTCGAGCGCGGTCATCATCGTGATTGCGGCCTGAGAACTCCTCTAGATCGGCGATCGCAGACATGCGAATTTGCTGCCTAGCAATTCCTTCTCCCGTAATGGCTTTCGCAATAGCCAAGTGAGGTCGAAGGACGCCGTCAATGTCGAGGTCGTCAGGGTAAAAAGCGCTACCGTGACTGCCATGCGAGTCAGCCGATTCCATGTTCGTGTATGGCATACCTTCCCCGAACACCTTGTGGTTGGGGGTGGGACGACTGGTCGGCTCAGAATGTGGCGGCGTTCGCTGTTGGTCTCGCATAGACTTTTTCATGGCCTTTGCAAAGTAGATTTGCATCTGGTCGGGCTCATCCGTAGCATCGACTGGCTCTGTGGTTAGTCTCAACGGTCCGGTGTCTGGAGTAGGATGATCGTGGCGGTCACGTAAAAGTGCTGCACCGGATGGTCCTAACGACATTAGCTTTATTTTCAAGCCGTCGCTATCGTCCGCAAGCGAATCCGCCGAAGCGTAATGTGACGACACCGCTGGTGAACAGTCTTCCTCTTTGACCATGATACTGGTCGTGAGCTCGCGGTCAGAGGAGTCATAGGTGCCGGTTAGTGGGACCAGCGCTTTAAACAGTGATCGGCTGGCCGTGATCACTTGATCCAGGTCGAAGTCAACCAAAACCTGCGCGTCAAACGCCCCCGGCACAAATCCTGCGCCTTGTGGCAGTTGAATGAGACGTTGTACTGCTTTCATTTTGCTAATGGCTGCTTGTGGAGTCGATGTCGGTCCCCGAAGCGGTCCGATCAGCCCCGATTCCAAGATGGTCAGCAATGGGTCCGTAGATAGCAACGCTTGAAGCTGGGTCCAGTGCAAACGACGTTGCAGCTGATCAATTTTCCAACCTTCCATCTTGACCTCTGCTGCCCTGCTTATCTCTTGATTATCACCCTCGAAGTCAGGCGCGCGTATCTTGGGAGCCGTAGCCTTCATTTTTTTTCTTTTTCTTTGTGTGTGGTTTTACTCTTAGACGAAACTTGTCCTGCTTTGACTGGACGTGTTTCATCTATCGGGTCGTACTTTGCAGTACGATCCGCGGTGGTCCCCGAAGGGACCTCACGAGGGAAAAGAGCGTTTTCTTCTTCGAGATCATTTTGGCGATCTTCCTCTTCAGATTTAGATTCGTTCGAGCCCCTCCCAAATCTCTGCCGAACCTAGGATCCTTTATAATTACGTGTCTGCGACGATTCCTTCTTCGCCGACACTTCCATCCCCGGTTCAATCTTGACCTTGACATCTTCGCTCTAGGATTCATAGTGAAATCCCGAGGCACCAGAAGATCCGGGCACGCGCACCGCTGTGGTGGAGTGAGATTCACTCATTTACGTAGCGATCCTGACTCCCCACTTGTGCCCGGACGACCGACTAACGGAGGGGGTACTCCGGACCGTGTGTCTTGTCTTGTTCCCTCTCACCTTGTGTACGCGTCGGCGGGCGGTTGCACTCTTCTAGGTGTCTTGAGGTCGGTGTCTTGTCTTGACCGAGTTGAGGATAGGTGGGGTGTGGTCGCGTGGTAATTCTTCACACGACCAACGGTTAATGGTGGCACTATCCTAGAGTTGCCTGACCTATCTTGAGGTCGCCTTGCCCAAATGTGGATACTTGATCCCCCTTGTTCTTCTGACCACTTGATCAACTTGTCCTTCTGATCACTAGAGCCGTCTGAAGAACTTGCCTTGTATGCTTGCCGTGTCTGATCGCGGGCTAACTTGAATGAGCATACTTGTCCCTAGTCAAGCAATCTAGGGACAAACCTTGAGCAAAGACGTAGACAGTAAACCTTGCACGTCGGGTGGCCACTAGTATTCCAGCCCGGAGGAATGCTGACTCGTGTCTTTTGTAGGAAAATCAATACTGTTCGTCATTAACCTAGTAGGGGCTAGAACTACGTTTACACTTCTCTTTATCTCAGTTTTCTACTACGTTGTTCGCCTGCCACCACCCATTCCTTGTGCATGAAATAAACCACCTTAACTGCCAGCATGACCGCTGGTCATCTTGCAGTGACCGTGACCACTGGTCACCCATTTTGACGACGACCACTGGTCACCCATCGTGACCATAACCACTGGTCACCCATCGTGACCATGACCACTGGTCACTCATCATGATTATGACCACGGTCGCCCATCATGACCGTGACCACTGGTCACTCATCATGATTATGACCACTGGTCGCCCATAGTGACCATGACCGGTCAGTCATTCGTCGTGACCCTAACCGGTGGTCATAATCTGTGACCGCCACTGATGACTTGCAAACCGTCCAGCTTATCGTTGGGAATTTCTGTAGCGGTCAGTCCCAAGACCGTCATGACCGGTCCCACATGCACTTACGGGGTGATCAAGGCGATTAATCAGGATTTCCTTTGACCACTTCACCACAGTCGCCCGGCGTGTTCGCCGGTAGTCGGCAGCCGGTGCCTGGTTCTGGCGAGCACGATGCGTGATCACGGCTTTCCCGTAATCATTGCTGGAAATGTCCGCTCCATCCCACCCGGCCGTTGGACAACACCTTCTCTTCGCTGGTCGACGTCTCCGGACTAACAGCGTAACGGCGGCCCCTGGCTGGTCGGTCACTCCTGCTCCTGATGACGAAGATTACACTGGTCTTGAACCAGATGCGACCGAGTCTGACCAAGCCGGCTCCGCTCCGGCTGACTACCTCACGGACCCTGTTAACCTTTCGGTCGGATCTGATGACGCCCCGGCGGACGATGCTTCTTCTGTCGATGCTGATCCTGCCGATGCTGAGGTGGGTAGCGACCAAGGGCGTAACTTGGACACTGCCGATCTGTACCAAGCCAGCTCCGCTCCGGCTGACCACCTTGCCGACCCTGTTGGCTTCTCGGTCGGATCTGATGACGCCCTGGCGGACGATGCCTCTTCTGCTAATTCTGACGTGGATAGTGACCAAGTGCATGACGTGGACACGACCGAGGTTGACTAGTTAGCTAAGCAGTGTGAAGACTTACGGCGAGCAGTAGTGGAAAGTGAGCAGCGTGTTGCTCCACTGCGGATCGGTTTCGATGCGCTTGCTCGCAGCTTTTCACAACGTGATCAGGAGCTTGACTAATTGAAAATGAAGCGTGCTTCAAGCCACCAAGAGCTTCACCGTTTGCGCTCCTCCCATGCTGCTCATGTCGAGGAACTAGCACTGTTGCAAGCCGAAAGGGATCTGCTTTCTCGCGACCGCAAGGCCCAGCGCAACCATCTGGTCAACTTCGTTATGGGGCTTTTGCCGTCGGTGGGGCTCGCCTATGATAAGCGGCGGAGAGAGCTGTCAGCGGCCGATCCTGTGCCACCCCCGAACAAGCGTGCGCGCGTAACGGTCACCTCGAGTTCGGTCGGACCAGATTCGTCTGCCAGCCCGTAGACCATGTGACGTAACAGCGATCCTCTTAAATTTCCCCGGTCACCCTCGCGTTGCGGTCGGACCAATTTCTCCTGCTAACCCTTCCTCTACGGTCGCAGAGCCCGCCGGCCCAACTTCCCATTCACGATCGGTATCTACTCACTCCAAGTCCCGGCAGGCGTCTCGCCCTCGCCTCGAATTCCCCAAGATTTCAGCACGTACGACCAGAACATCGTCCAAGCTCAAGACCGTGACCAAGCTACCGTCTGTAATGACTCGGCGGACACAGACGCAAACACGAGCGCGTTTCCCCTTCGCATCTCTTGCGCGGGATAGCGACGGCTCCATAGAATTCGCTGACGAGGCCATGCTCATCGCACTGTCACGGTCACGTTCTTCCTTTCGACGGCGCTCTTCTGCCTCGACTACAAGATTTGCTGATGGGTTGGCTGACACTCCGATCTAGATCGATCTAGCCAGTCATACACCCGCGACTCGTGCGGCTCCGTCAAGACGTGATACACGTACTTCATCGGCCGTCTCCCGGTCGCCGCCCATCGCTGCGACACCTCCGACCGCAGAGCCACCCAGGGCGCCCGACGAGTCCGATGGGTCGGTGAGGGCACCAAGCTACGGTCATGCCCCAGTGAACAAGCTCTTATCCCCGACCGCTTTCAAGGCTTTACCCCCTGTGCGTTCCTCGCGCGATAAGTGGATTCCTGGGTATCGCACTCGTACAACTTATGCCCCTGGCCATTTTTTGCCGTGGTCATCCCATCGTTTGGGCTTGGTCGCTGTAGGTCACCTGGACTTGGATCTCTTGTTCCACCACTACTCCCGGCCCAAAAACTACCTGTTCCCCGTTCCGAACGGTCCCTGCGTCCGCCAACTGAAGCTTAGTGGTCCCCGGGGCTAGTGACCTCCGCCCAGATTGCTGCTCTATACAGCCAGAAACGTTGGGACGTCTTGGATCGGCCTATTGCGCCTGTGTCATTTCGCCCGACTGGCTGGTTCCAAGCTTTGATGACCGCGTATCGTGAGTTCGATGCCCATCATCGCCAGGCATTATGGGAGTCTACTCATGTGCTCCCGATCATCGTGGGTCCAAGTCGCGCGAAAGACCCTGGATTGAGCGTCTTCTATGAAGAAAGGCGTCGTCGGCGTTCCCGGTCCAGCCCCTGGTGGAAGGCTGGACTTCGGATCGTGTTGGAGGGATTGGTCGGGGGTCAGTGTGACCTCGACATCCTGTTGGACCCCTTCTTTCTGCCTTTACCAGGACGGTTTGAGAAATGTTGGTGGTATCCAGGGTTTGGCTGTCAACAGACCAACATCCCTAATCTGGCCTCAGCCTTACACCATGCGGATTCCGCTGACCCCTGGCGCAAATAATATCGGGCGGCCGTTGCTGACCACCCAACATCGTTCATCGACCGTCTCCGGACCAACTTTGTAGCGCAGTGAAAGGTCGTCTCCAGCATGAGAGACCATGACGTTTATGTTCACAGTCCATAACACCAGTTGCTGCTTATTAAATTCACATCTACTGAAGTCTGTTCACCATGTTTTCTTGCTTCTGTGTACACCGCTTTGGTTGACCACGCAACTCCTTTACATCCATAGCTTACGTAGTCATGCCTCCTTCTTTCACAGACCAGGCGGTCACAGTGTTTCGTGGCCGCGGTCACAGCTCTTGGTCATCTTAACAGTATGATCACCATGTTAGTTAACCACATCACTTCTTCACATTCATGGTTAACGTGGTCATCCCTCGTTCTCTCACAGACCATAAAGTCCCCATGCTTCAAGGCCGCGGTTACCGTCCCTAGTCACCCTAACATCTGGATTCTTCCTCATGTACTTGCATCACTTCGAAAAGGTTTCGCCTAGCTCGATCACGCTCAAACTCTTGCAATAAAGCACCACAATTGAGGTTTGCCTCATCCACCCAAATATTATCCTTACGACCCTTCCATCTGACCAGGAACTGTCGGTGTACCCTTCCGTAACGAGTCGTTCGTCCTGTTCTCACATCTCGGATACTATCCACCTCGTATTCTCCTTCGGCTAGATCCTTTTTACTAGCTTTCCTCTGGGAGCAGAGCTTCGTCAAAATTAAGACGCTCTGTTTCTTCTACCTTTAGCCGCGCAGCAGGTCGATCAGGGAACATCCGTACTAGCTTCAGCTTATATACGTGAACGAGTGAGAATCCGGTATGGGGTCCCTTGTACCTCCAACCGCACTGCATGTTCCCCGCACTTCTCGATCACCCAAAACGGGCCGTGCCACATGTGAGACAGATTCCTGGCATATCCCTCCTTTACTTGATCCAAATATAGCCACACTTGTCTACCGCGGCTGATTCCGTTTGGCCCTTGATCAACGTTGTGTTGGTCAGCTCGGTCTTAAATGGCGTCCTTCAGTCGGTCATTCACCGTAGCGCGGGCTCGTTGATATTGCCGCTGTATGTGATAGCGCCATCTCCGGGGGATCCCGATCACGTAATTTAGTACATCTCAACGGCAGGCTCGCTTTCAGCGTTGATCGCGGATCCCAACCATGGACAAGATAGAATGAGGTATCACCTCGTACTCGGTCATGGGCCGTATTGATGGCGAAGGTCAGGCGTTTAGCGTATTCGTCCCAAACTTTTTGGTTCACATCCGTGACATACATTCTTAGCGCCCTGGTCAATGTTTGGACCATACGTTCAGCTGTACCATTGGCTTGAGGTCAATACGCCATTGTGGCACGTTGTGTCTGACCAGCGATGCAGTTAGACGCGCGAAATAAATCCGACATGAATCCGGGTTCGCGGTCGTGACAAATAAATACAATTACCTCAAACCGCCGGAAGACACATTCTTCATACCCTTCCGCGATCGTCTAGGCCAATCTTGACGAGCTGGCTTTAGCAATCACGTAGACAGAAAACAAATCCACCAAACGCAACACTTCGGTATTCTTTTTGAATGACCTGGGTAACGAGGGGATATGATCCATTGCAATGATCTGGAACGGGTACGTGGCCTGTAAATTTCCCGGGGCTCGCCTCGTAGGATCGGACATCCTTTTTTTGGTTTTGCAGTCGAAGCATTTCCCCACATACTGCTGCACGCTTCTAAACAAGCCTCTCCAATGAAAGTGCAATCGCACGCGGTGATACGTTCGACCTACCCCTTGGTGACCACCTTCCAGACTTGCATAGTAGTGGTTTAGGACATCATCTTGAAGTAATTCTGGAGCCACCAAGCGGACGACCTCCGCGCGGTCACTGGGATTTGCTGCTGCTCGTGGGCAAAAATATAACAACCCACCTTTATCCACCACGTAATCTGGGGCAATAACCGCACTTGCTTTTGCTTCCGTAGTATTTAATTCGGTATATTCCCCGACAAGGTAAAGTTTGAGGTTGGCGATTCAACTTTCTTCATCTCGTGCTTGCTTTATGCGCTCCAGTCGCATCTGCTAAATCCTTTTCCTCTTGCATAATCGTGGGCACTTCACGCCTCCATCTGGCTGATCGTGTGATCGCCGGTATCCTGGCCACTTGATTGTTAGTCGCCGGTTATAATATCTGGTCCAGTCGGTTCATCGCTTGTAAACCATGACAATCCTGCTCCGTTAGTCTGACCATGCCTTTTTCCAGCTGTAAAGCGGAGCTAACCAGTTTATCGGCACTTTGATTCCAATTGCGCTTAATATGTAAAAATTCATGAGTCGGCCATGGTCGCAGTTAATCTAGGGCCTTGAGACGTAGTGACTGCAGTCCCGGTGCCTTGCAGTTAATTTCACCCCTCATCTGCCTGATGACCAGGTCGGAATCCCCACAAGTGACCACTCGTCCCCTTGTCTGCTTGGCCAACAACTCGCAACTCAGCAGCAACCAACGGTATATTGCCTCGTTCACGGTCAACCCAGTGTCGAATCGCGGCGCAGTCGATACTATAGTCCACTCGGGAAGCTTCAATATTATCGCACTGTAGGCACCCCCTTTATTCTTGGTACGGGCTGCTCCATTAAAGCTGACAACAAGAAGCAATTCTTCGCGGATGACCGTAGGGGGCGGCATACTGATAATCTGTCTCGATTGCTTCTGCTTCCTGGGCGAGATCGCGATCAGCACACCATCTACATCCTCCTGTAATGTGATACTTGCGGCAAGAAAACCAAGAATTTCGTCCTCTCCTTTGTTGCATCGGTTGATGTCCAGAGTCCAAGTTGACAGTAAAGCTGCCCATCTTCCAAGTCTCCCGTTAAGGCCCGATAATTGCATTAACACGCCAGAGTTAAAAACCGTGTGAGCACCTTAAGGTTCCGCGATACTAGTAGTGTATAACAAACATCTAATATCCGGAGCAGGGACAGGACTTCTTTTTCCACCACACCGTAGTTGATTTCATCCGGTTTTAACGTGCGACTAAGAACATAACAGGCCAATTCACTCCGTCGCGTTCTTGCAACAAAGCTGCGGATACCGCCCATTTGCTGGCATAAACCACTATCACTGGCCAATGATCAGGGTCAAAATATCTTAGCACCGGGGTCTGGGCAACTTTTGCTTTCAGCAATGTGAACGCTATCATAGCCTTTTTCCCTACGATGACCGCTCGTATGTTCGCCGTTAGACCCCTCTGTATTCGGTTGGTCACGACCATCCATCTTTGTCATTTTTTTATCACAGCTACCCACCAGCCTCTGGCCATGGTCATCGTCGATCTGGGTATCACCATACTGGTCTTGGTTTGTTGCATGACCATCCTCCGAGTTGTCCAACCGCCTAATCGCATGAAAGTCCGCCTCTCTCAATTCATACAGGTTTGAGACGTATATGGCAAAATTTTCAGTGAACCGGCTGTAGTAAATAAAAAAAAATTAAAAAAGGACTGCATTGACCGCAATGTTTGGGGAAATGGAATATTGACCAATGACCCCAAATCCTTCGGGTAGGCTTCTATTCCTGATATCGATATGTGATGCCCGAGATACTCAACTTTGCGTCGTCCCCAAACACTATAAGGTAAATTAATCGACAAAATCCACTGATCACAGACTTCCAACAGTCTGTCTACCTTGTCATGGAGGGACGTCCAGGACGACGCCAGGATCAGAATTTCATCAGTATAGGACCTCCGCCCCAACACTGAAGACTTTCGGTGCGGGTCCGGCTCGCCGTGCGTGAACACGTCAACCAGTTGTGACACCTCGCGACCACTTGATCTCCGCTGTTCGCCGATTGTGAGATACCCGTACAATGAATTATCCACCATACGCTGGTATATCTGCGGCGCCTTTTTTAACCCGAACGGCATACGTATCCATTCATACAAACCTGAAGGCGTATAAATGCAGATATCATTCGTGCTCTCTCCGTCATTTCCACAACCCAGAATCCGCTGGACATATCCAATGAACAGTACCATAGCGCTTTGTCCAGGTCCTGCAGTAGGTCGTTGATCAAGGGCATGGGATATTATTAGCCTCGTCAATTGGTTGACTCGTTGGTAATCAATACATAGTCGTACATCTACTCCATTCTTTTTTACGATCTCTACGATCGGCGATGCCCACGGCGAGGTTGAGGGACATTTAATCTTCGCCGATGGAAACCCTTTGATCAGGTCCGCCAACTTTTCAAATTAATTGGGGCGACAGGCCTCACTCGTTGTGCTATTGGGGTCGCCCCTCCCACATCTATGTCACATATCATGCCTCGAGCCGCAGGTGGGAGGGCGTTTACCTTGCCCAGCAACAAATATCTTTTCTTCCGGATCAGCTGGCGTAATTCTTCTTGCTCTTTCTTTAATGGAACCACTGGTTCGCCCACCTGTATATACTCAGTCTTCACCTCGCATAGCGTCGGGTCCACGTCCGGTAAGACTGCCATGTGTTGGCCAACATCTTCCGCGAATGATGGTCCACCTAAGTGTTGGTATGGCGTGCACTCCTGTTCTCCTTCGCCGGCGACCGCTGCTTCTTGGTCTCTCAGATGGTCGGGCGGTCGATACACCTCCTCATCCCCAACCGTAATTTTTTATTTGGGGAATCAGGGGACTTGTTTTGCATACGATCAGGTACCATATCCTTGATCGATTCGGAAGTGATCCTCTATTCACACTCGTGTGGGTGCATTTCGGACTGCTCGTGCACCAACGTCGTATCTTTTATCGCCTCAATAGGGTTGACCAAGTCGGCGGACGTTGGTGATCGCGTAGACCTTTCTCTCTGGGGTTCATTTGTTTGTTCATGCCGATCATGTACCGAATCACAACCCGTATCACGTGTGGTGATCGTGTTAATAGCTACTGGTGATCGTTCTGGTTGTGGTTTTTCTTGATCCTCCTGTTCATCCACCTGGTCACATATCAGCACATTGCTTTCCCATTCCGCTTCCTCTCTCCCCGCGGTCATCTTACCATACCCTGTGGGGGTCGTTTTAGAATCTGCCTTGGTGTTGGGTAAGACTGGCGTTCGAACGACGGTCCTTCTGCTTCCGGTACTTCTTCTGCTTCATCTCTATATGTAGAAGCTTCGTATGCAAGTGTTTGCCACTCCTGATAACGACGTGACCCTACCGAAACATATCCGGGTAACCGTGGTATCATGTCCGCCGGCATCCATTGCCCGAACGGCGTCCCCTGTTGAATAATCACCTCTTGATCGGTTAGGTTGGTTAGGCGGAGGTACGTAAGTCTTTCGGGTCCGGTCATAGCCGGGGGGACCCAACATGCGTGGCGCGTTAATCACCGTTTCGACTGCAGTGGCCCCCGACCAACGTTGACCTCCACCGAGTCACCCACCGGTATCGCCAAATAATTCTCATCCGCAGCAATTCGTTGTATCTTCGCCCCATACGGTGATCTCCCATCTTTAAGTTCAATTACGACTTCGTCCGGCAAGCACACTGTTCCGTCTGCCAGGTCAAGGCGTATTCCAGCCGGTACCATGAAATACATCTCTAGAATTGCTTCTTGTCCCACTTGTTCACACACCCATACATCAAAGTAGTAAACCAATGAGCCATTCAACGTGATCTTCACCTTTGTGCGGCCTTCTGCCATGTACGAATTTTCTCCGATACCCACACATTCTTGCTTCTGACTCTCATCTATGACACAGCCAACCTTTCAAGCAAAATTGGTGTCGATGATTGAGACTTCAGCTCCCGAGTCAAACAATAGGGTGGCCTTCTCATTGTTTATTTCCCCTTCCACCTTTGCTTGCCTGAACCACTTGTTTGGAGTATGGTACTTCCAGTAACCATGTGATTCACCAGGAGACAACTTGAGTTCCATCTTTGTAGGTGAACGTGCGTATTCATCCGGTCGCCGCAAACTTGCAATTAATGAAAAAGAACTAGTGTCCAAAATACATGTACTGAAAGTCGGGCCGGTCGGGCAATTAACACTGTTATCAACCCCTCCTTTTTCAATGAATGCATACATGAATAGCCTAGAACGCTCGGCTCGTACCAGGTTCCAACCTGGCGAGCGTCTTAGTTTAATATCTTCTCAGCGTCGGGAGGAAGCATTCCGGCGTTATTGGTCGGCACTTAACACTTGCAAAGCATATTGTAAAATTTTCCACCGGGCAGTTGTCCCCGTCGTGCACTTCTCCACACGCTGCGCATCCGTAATGACTTGTCGGAGGGATGACCTCGGCGCCCGCATTGCTGACAAGTCAGGTGTTTCCAGCATCCCCTGTCATCAAGTCTATTGGACACACAATAAGTGCATGACTTGTGCCCCTTCTGCACGCTCGTGATCACGTTCGCGGTCGTTCAATCTTGGCTTAGTTGGACGATCATTTCCCCGGTCCTGCATATGGTCGGCTGCTGTGGCGCTGTAAAAACGTCGTTATTCTTCGTCTGATTCCGCACTGCTTACATCTGATTCCGACGAACTGCTCTCGCCCCCACGTGGATTGCACGCACAGCTCAAGCTAGTTTAGATGGACTTGGAGAGTATGGCGACGCTGATAAGCGGAAATTGCTTGAACGGATCGGGAGATTGCCTTTGCGCTTTTGCATACGTTCGTATGTGTGCAGCATTAATTTCAGCGCATTCACGTCGTCCAAACGCAGCAAGGTCTATTGCTGTGCGAGATCGTGGTCATCCAGTGTTAGTGTTCTAGTTTTTCACGTCGATCTAGCGACGTTCCCGTCCTGCACGTGAATTTTGGCTCGCATCCCAGCAACGTTCAACCCCTCCGCCCCGGGTGTGTTTTTTGCCCCCCCCCAGCAACGTTAAACCGATAGGAATATTCTAGCGGAGTTTCATCGGCACGTTTGCAGGCGTGGTAATACTGGCGACCAGCAGAGATGCCGCGTCCACAGTATTGTAGTAAAAAACTCTCCAGCAAGTCTTTTCACTTATTGCGTGTCGATCGGCTCAGCTGGGAGTACCAGTTTCGGGCTGGGCCTGCTAGCAAATCTCCTAAAACCAAACAGTTCCTCGAATCGGGGGCTTGGTCACGCAAGAAAGCTGATTTGACCTTTCGCACCCAGCTTCGAGCGCGGTCATCATCGTGATTGCGGCCTGAGAACTCCTCTAGATCGGCGATCGCAGACATGCGAATTTGCTGCCTAGCAATTCCTTCTCCCGTAATGGCTTTCGCAATAGCCAAGTGAGGTCGAAGGACGCCGTCAATGTCGAGGTCGTCAGGGTAAAAAGCGCTACCGTGACTGCCATGCGAGTCAGCCGATTCCATGTTCGTGTATGGCATACCTTCCCCGAACACCTTGTGGTTGGGGGTGGGACGACTGGTCGGCTCAGAATGTGGCGGCGTTCGCTGTTGGTCTCGCATAGACTTTTTCATGGCCTTTGCAAAGTAGATTTGCATCTGGTCGGGCTCATCCGTAGCATCGACTGGCTCTGTGGTTAGTCTCAACGGTCCGGTGTCTGGAGTAGGATGATCGTGGCGGTCACGTAAAAGTGCTGCACCGGATGGTCCTAACGACATTAGCTTTATTTTCAAGCCGTCGCTATCGTCCGCAAGCGAATCCGCCGAAGCGTAATGTGACGACACCGCTGGTGAACAGTCTTCCTCTTTGACCATGATACTGGTCGTGAGCTCGCGGTCAGAGGAGTCATAGGTGCCGGTTAGTGGGACCAGCGCTTTAAACAGTGATCGGCTGGCCGTGATCACTTGATCCAGGTCGAAGTCAACCAAAACCTGCGCGTCAAACGCCCCCGGCACAAATCCTGCGCCTTGTGGCAGTTGAATGAGACGTTGTACTGCTTTCATTTTGCTAATGGCTGCTTGTGGAGTCGATGTCGGTCCCCGAAGCGGTCCGATCAGCCCCGATTCCAAGATGGTCAGCAATGGGTCCGTAGATAGCAACGCTTGAAGCTGGGTCCAGTGCAAACGACGTTGCAGCTGATCATTTTCCAACCTTCCATCTTGACCTCTGCTGCCCTGCTTATCTCTTGATTATCACCCTCGAAGTCAGGCGCGCGTATCTTGGGAGCCGTAGCCTTCATTTTTTTCTTTTTCTTTGTGTGTGGTTTTACTCTTAGACGAAACTTGTCCTGCTTTGACTGGACGTGTTTCATCTATCGGGTCGTACTTTGCAGTACGATCCGCGGTGGTCCCCGAAGGGACCTCACGAGGGAAAAGAGCGTTTTCTTCTTCGAGATCATTTTGGCGATCTTCCTCTTCAGATTTAGATTCGTTCGAGCCCCTCCCAAATCTCTGCCGAACCTAGGATCCTTTATAATTACGTGTCTGCGACGATTCCTTCTTCGCCGACACTTCCATCCCCGGTTCAATCTTGACCTTGACATCTTCGCTCTAGGATTCATAGTGAAATCCCGAGGCACCAGAAGATCCGGGCACGCGCACCGCTGTGGTGGAGTGAGATTCACTCATTTACGTAGCGATCCTGACTCCCCACTTGTGCCCGGACGACCGACTAACGGAGGGGGTACTCCGGACCGTGTGTCTTGTCTTGTTCCCTCTCACCTTGTGTACGCGTCGGCGGGCGGTTGCACTCTTCTAGGTGTCTTGAGGTCGGTGTCTTGTCTTGACCGAGTTGAGGATAGGTGGGGTGTGGTCGCGTGGTAATTCTTCACACGACCAACGGTTAATGGTGGCACTATCCTAGAGTTGCCTGACCTATCTTGAGGTCGCCTTGCCCAAATGTGGATACTTGATCCCCCTTGTTCTTCTGACCACTTGATCAACTTGTCCTTCTGATCACTAGAGCCGTCTGAAGAACTTGCCTTGTATGCTTGCCGTGTCTGATCGCGGGCTAACTTGAATGAGCATACTTGTCCCTAGTCAAGCAATCTAGGGACAAACCTTGAGCAAAGACGTAGACAGTAAACCTTGCACGTCGGGTGGCCACTAGTATTCCAGCCCGGAGGAATGCTGACTCGTGTCTTTTGTAGGAAAATCAATACTGTTCGTCATTAACCTAGTAGGGGCTAGAACTACGTTTACACTTCTCTTTATCTCAGTTTTCTACTACGTTGTTCGCCTGCCACCACCCATTCCTTGTGCATGAAATAAACCACCTTAACTGCCAGCATGACCGCTGGTCATCTTGCAGTGACCGTGACCACTGGTCACCCATTTTGACGACGACCACTGGTCACCCATCGTGACCATAACCACTGGTCACCCATCGTGACCATGACCACTGGTCACTCATCATGATTATGACCACGGTCGCCCATCATGACCGTGACCACTGGTCACTCATCATGATTATGACCACTGGTCGCCCATAGTGACCATGACCGGTCAGTCATTCGTCGTGACCCTAACCGGTGGTCATAATCTGTGACCGCCACTGATGACTTGCAAACCGTCCAGCTTATCGTTGAGGATTTCTGTAGCGGTCAGTCCCAAGACCGTCATGACCGGTCCCACATGCACTTACGAGGTGATCAAGGCGATTAATCAGGATTTCCTTTGACCACTTCACCACAACTACACGGAGACGTTTTCGCCGGTAGTCAAGTACGTGACGCTGCGCATGGTTGTTGCGATCACGAAGCCGTCACCACGGCTTTCCTGTACGGAGAGTTGAAGGAAAAGGTATTCCGCGCGATCCCAGAAGGGGTCGAAGTTGATGAAGACTTTGACTGCTTTGAACTGGTCAAGGCGATCTACGGACTAAAACAAGTGTAACGGGGCACCCTGAAGCTTGTATAGGTGACAGTACAAGCTACTTATTCTGATGACAAAATAAGGCGGTGCCTCGGAGCTTCACGTACACTGGTACGTGCAGAGGAAGACAGTAAGAAGAAGCGAGTATTTGGTTAAAGTAAAAAGTAGAACTGTATTCATAATAGTTAATGTCTGTAATAAACCCCCTGTTTATCCTCATCTTACTATGTCTGAATACAAATGTGTATATCAAGTATCTGCTCACCACTCATTGCGTGCGCATGTCGTGGCATGTCTTCGTTGGTTGATATAATGGCCTGAATTAACCAATTAGGAACTACTCGTAAGTGCTGCAGAATATTTGTCCTTATGACAATATTCTGAGAATATAACTCTAATAGTTATATTCTATTAACAGTTTCTTTTAAATTGTTATGTAACGATTCACCCCGTTACAACAAGCACCGCGCCTATGGAACGAGACTTTCCATGAGTTCGTCTGCTCCATTGGATTTCAAGTATCCGATTTTGACCCGTGTCTTTATCTCAAGATTACAAGTGGCGAGTGCGTGCTTTTGCTGGTCTACGTCAATGATGTGCTGGTGACTGGCAGCTCGACTGAACTGATCATGCGCACCAAGAGTGACTTAAAGGCGCGTTTCGAAATGGCTGACAGCGGCAAGTGCGCATTCGCGTTGGGCATCGAGCTGGTGGACAACGGCAACGGTAGCGTGACGATGTGCCGGCGACGCTACGTGGAAGATGTTCTCAAGCGTTTTGGCATGAGCGACTGCAAAACCGTCACCAGCCCAACAGACACCAGTTCTCGACTCATACCAAGCACCGCAGCAACCAAAATCGACGCCCCGTTTCGTGAAGCAGTAGGCGCTTTAATGCTCTCGGTGAACGCGACACGACCGTACACTGACTTTGCTGTGAATTACGTTTCGTGCTTCATGGAAAAGACCCCAATTCGAGCATTGGATGGCGGTCAAGCGCATTTTGCGATACTTACAAGGGACTAAGTCGCACGGTATCTGTTTCAAGTCTGATGACAAGATAGACTTCTGCGGCTACTCGGATGCAGACTGGGCCGGCGACCATGCAGACCGAAAGTCGACTTCGGGATATGCGTGCATCCTGATAAGTGCTCCGGTGAGCTGGGGAAGCAAAAAGCAGTCAAGTGTGTCGCTGTCAACAAGTGAAGCTGAGTACATTGCACTAAGTCTGGCGATTCAAGAAGGCAAGTGGGTGCATCGATTGCTGTGCGAGATTCTGGATGCCGCAGAGGACAAGTCTGAACCCGAGCTCAAGATCATGGGAGATAACCAATCGTGCATCAAGATGACGAAGAAACCTGTGAACCATGGTCGAGCCAAGCGCATCGACATCAAGTACCATCACATTCGCGATGAAGTCAAGCGTGGTGATGTCACGTTGGAGTACTGTGAGACTGCGATGATGTTGGCGGACATCATGACCAAGGGACTGCCAGGACAGCGTCACAAGGACTTGACGGCAGCGCTCGGCATACACGCGTGTTCTCATTGAGGGGGCGCATTGTGGGTTAACGGTTAAGGTACGGCTATCATTGACCGTTACCGTGGAAACCGAAAACTTGTTTAAGTCGATCCCGCGTAATTACGGTGAGTTCTTACCAATGATTAGACGCATAGGATGATTGGATGACCTACATTATTCATGATTCTTTATTTATTTGTGGACAACATATAAATCAGTGCAGGGATATATCAGGCAGCTTTAACAAAGACCCACAAATTAATTCACTTCCAAGTATTCCTTCCCCTACACAAGTCGTCTCCACTTCGCAGTGGAGAATTCTTTCAAGCTCTTCAAGCTTCGTTCTCTCGCCCAGTGCTAGTTACATCTTAACAGATTATGAGCCCAAGCACGATGTCCTCTACTCAAGATTCCGCCTCCAAGGTCTCTATCGATAGAGTCGATGAAGACAACTACGCGACTTGGAGCCGCTACATGCGTGGCGTGTTCCTGACCAAGTCAACGTGGCACGGGAGCCCGGGAGACCACCCCCACCTTCGCCGATCCTCGCGCCAGTGATGAGTATGTCAAGACCAACAACATTGCGTTCGGCTTGATGCTACTTCCCATGAGCGCGGACTATCATCACGTGGTTGATGCCTGCGACGAGGCATGGGTTGCGTGGACACGGTTGAAGACTCTCTACGGCGGATCGCAGAAGGCGGGACGGATCTTCTTGAAGCGACAGCTCTTCAGCATGGAGATGGCGGAAGGCGGCAATGTAATGAATCATTGCAATGAAGTTCTCAACATCAGCGCCAAGCTCAGCAGCATCGGCGCCAAGATGGAGGATGAGGACGTGGCGATCTGCTTGTTGTGCAGTCTCCCCAAGAGCTACGAGAATGTCGTGCTGAACTTGGAGATGAGCAGCGTGGAACTGCGGACGCAAGACGTCGTGAAAGTGCTGACGAATGAGCACATCAAGAGACAAGGAAACAAGGAAACAAGACGACGTCGGTGAAAACTGAAGAAGCGACCAAGGCCTTCAGTACCGAGCGTGAGGTTCGTCAGTGTACGTTCTGTGGAAAATTGGGGCACATGGTGGTAAAGTGCTGGACCAAGCAGAAGGAAGACAATCGGGGAGCTCGACGCGGCGGCAATGCTCGTGGACGCGGAGCGAATCAAGTTCAGTGGAAAAGCTACAACGGCAACAACAACTATGACCATGATTGAGTGGCGTTTTCTGTTTTGCTGGAATGCGGACTTTCAACGACCAGGAGCATGTCTGGAATGTGGGCGATTGACAGCGGTACAACACATCACATCTGCTATGACAAGTCCAAGTCTGAAGTTATGGACGAGCGCAATGAAGGTGAAGTGTTGGTTGCAGATGGGAACAAGGCTGCGATCAACGGTGTCGGGACAATCGTCGAAAAGGTGGTCCTGTCCAATGGTGAAGAGCGCGAAGTCAAGATCAAGAACGCGCTTTACGTCCCAAGCATGAACAAGAACTTGCTTTCGATACCACACATCAACAAAAGCGGCAAGTTTCAAGTGGTGTTTGATCGTGACGAGATGAAGATTTCGCACAAAGGCTCCAAGCAAGTAATGGCGATGGCCGATCTTGTGGATGGCCTCTACTGGCTTCGTACATCCCAACGATCCGTGAATGCGGCTTCAGGACCAAGAGCCGAAAATCTTCATGCGCGTACGGGCCACGCACCGGTTGATGTCTTGTGCAGAATGGTCTCCAAGGGCACGATCAAGGATGCCAAGAAGCCAACAAAATTGAGCGGATTAAGCGTGTGTCAGGGTTGTCTAGAAGGAAAATAGTTCAACGACCGTTCCCAAGTAATCCAAACAAGCGCCAGTATGACCCGTTTGAGCTCCTACACATCGACACTTGTGGTCCAATGGAAGTCGACTCGCTAAATGGAAGCAAGTACTTGCTACTGATCGTCGATGAAGGCAGCGGATGTATGAAGGGTTTCAGTCTGCGCGCCAAGTCCGACAGCGAAGAGTGCATCAAGAAGTACATCATGGCAGTACAGACGCAGTTTAACTACAAGGTCAAGTTCATTCGACACGATGGTGCACGGAAATTTTCGACAGGATTGCTCAAGGCATTCTACGACGATCAAGGCAGCAAGTTGCCGTTCCACATGCGCATCAGACCAACGGCGCGGCGGAACGGGCAATTCGGACCATTGTGACGATCGAGCGCAGTATGCTTCACTACGCCAATCTGGACAAGTGTTTTTGGGCTGAAGCAGCAATGACGGCGATCTACATCAATAATCGCTTACCATCGCCCAAGTGCCGAGATCGAACCCCGTTCGAGATCGTCAACAGATTTCGACCAAGTGAGAAAGAAGCACATGCGGGTTTTCGGCTGCCGAACGTTTGTGCTGACCCCTAATGAAAAGAGATCGAAATGGGATTTGAAGGCTCGTGAAGGACTATTCATGCGGTACGAAGAAGTGTCAAAGGCATATCGCGTTTACGACATTGAAGCGGACCAAGTGGTGATATCTCGCGATGTCACATTCGACGAATCAACGTTTGGTTTCTCGCCGACGCTACCACAAGAAATTGTTGATGACACTGCGCTGGATATCGAATCGATGAACATCAGCGATGAGCCTCACCCTATGCAGTTCAAGCAAACACGAAAACGCAAAAGCCGTTCAAACAGCCAAGAACAAGTTCTAAGAAGGACACTTCCTGAGCGTCGTGGAACCGGGTTAGAAGAAGCAAGTGCCCCGGATGACTTTGAATCGCACCAAGCGAAGCGACGGTCAAGCGCTCTATTGAGGGTTACCGATACAATTCGAGCTTAAGCGTAGTTTTTACGGGATAGTTTTTACATCGGTAATTACCTCAGAGATGATTAGACGCGTAGGATGATTGGACGCGTGTAAATCAGGTTGATTAGATGCACCATGTGATTGGATGCAGTCTAGGGTAGGCAGAAGCTAAGACCTATAAATCAATCACTTTCGAATCCTCCCTCAAGTGAGCAAGTGTTCTCTGCTTCGTTCTCTCCGGTCTCTCCGCTTCGTTTTCTCTTCGCCTCGCGCTCAAATTGCAACATAGTCCTGACGAATGAGCATGCCAAGCGTCAAGGAGAAAAAGGGACAACGACAGCGACTACGGTGAAGGCTGAAGATGCAAGCAAGGCATTCAGCGCCGAGCGTGAGCCCTACCAATGCACGTATTGTGGCAAGGTGGGACACACGGTGGATCGTTGCTGGACAAAGCAGAAGAACGAAGGTCGGGGAGCCCGACGCGGCGGCAATGGTCGTGGACGCGGGGCTAACAATGCCCAGTGGGACATAATGACGAAGGCAACGGCTACGATCGAGTGGCGTTTGCAGTCTCGCTCGGATGTGGAGTTTCGACGAGCAAGGACGTGTCTGGAATGTGGGCCGTCGACAGTGGTGCAACGCACCACATTTGCCACGACAAGACCAAGTTCGCAAGTTTGGCAGAGCGCAATGAGGGCGAACTCTTGGTGGCTGATGGCAACAAGGTGGCCATCAAGGGTGTGGGAACCATCATGGAAAAGGTGGTTCTGCCCAACGGTGAAGAGCGTGAGATCGAAATCAAGAACGCGCTATATGTTCCAAGTATGAGCAAGAACTTGCTCTCGGTACCACAGATTAACAGCCATGGCAAGTTTCAAGTCGTGTTTGACGGGTCCAAGATGTATGTGACTCTCAAGAACTCACAGCAAGTGGTGGCGACAGCGGATCTCGTGGATGGACTCTACTGGCTTCGGACGACTCAACGATCAGCGAATGTGACAACAAGTGGAACCAGTTGTGCCGATCTACATGCGAGAATGGGTCATGCTCCAGTCGATGTACTTCGCAAGATGATCGCGACCAACATGATCAATGATGTGCGAGTCCCTCTCAAGTCGGGTGGAGCAACTACATGTCGAGGATGCCAACAAGGGAAAATGGTCCAAAAACCATTTCCAAGCAACCGAGACAAGCGCAGCTACGATACGTTTGAGCTACTTCATCTGGACATCTGCGGGCCCATGGAAAAGGATTCGCTCGGTGGCAGCAAATATTTGCTGCTGATCATCGACGAAGCCAGTGGATGCATGAAGGGCTTTTGTCTACGAGTGAAGCCTGAGAGTGAAGACTACATCCGGAAATATATCACCATGGTACAGACGCAATTCTGTAAGAAGGTCAAGTTCGTGCGACACTACGGCGCTCGCGAGTTTGCAACCAACTCGCTTCAACTGTTCTACGAAGACGAAGGCATTGAACAGCAGACAACGGTGCCGTATGCACATCAAACAAACGGAACAGCAGAGCGTGCCATTAGGACTATTGTCACGATCGGCCGCAGCATGCTTCATCATGCCAAACTGGACAAGTGTTTCTGGGCCGAAGCAGCGATGACGGCCATCTACGTCAAGAATCGAATGCCGTCACCTAAAGTCGTGCACAAGACCCCGTTTGAGATCGTCTACAACTTGAAACCAAGCGTCAAGCACATGCGAACATTCGGGTGTCAGACATACATACTGACGCCTAAAGAGAATCGACTCAAGTGGGATCCAAAGGCTCGCGCTGGCATATTCGTGGGCTACGAAGAAGTTTCGAAGGCATATCGTGTTTATGACATCGAGGCGGGGCAGGTGGTTATCAGCCGCGATGTCAACTTCGAAGAGTCCACCTTTGGACTTCAACTGCCGATCACTGATGAAGATGTCGATGACCTGGACTTCGAATTGCTGGATCTTGATAACGAAGAGCTGCGTCAAATGGAGTACAAGCAAACAGGCAAGCGCAAGAACCGACTCAATGATGAAGATACAGCAGCTCCACGACCGCGTGCAGTGCGTCAACGACCAGGACTAGAAGAGTCAAGCGCGCCGGAAAACAACTCGTCACGCCAAGAAGAAGACGAAGAAACGAAGGATTCTGGTGATTCAACACCGCCTGTGTTTTGGCGTGGGAGTGCAAATGCCGTTGAAGCAGCAGTGGACTTATCAGAGCCCTCAACATTTGAAGCAGCAGTAAGCGGCCCTGACCAAGTGCACTGGAGAAAAGCAATTCATGCAGAGCTCGAGTCAATGCGACTTCGCGGTGTGTTTCGTGCAGTTAAGCTGCCCAACGGACAACGCGCCATTGGCACAAAATGGGTGTTCAAGATCAAGCGCAAGGCGGATGGGTCAATCGAGAAGTACAAGGCACGACTTGTGGCCAAGGGTTTCCGCCAAAAGTATGGCATCGACTACACGGAGACGTTTTCGCCTGTGGTCATGTATGTGACGCTGCGACTGGTGATCGCAATTTCCAAGCATTTTGGATGGCCCATCAACCAGCTTGATGTGGTGACAGCTTTCCTGTATGGCGTCATGAAGGAACAAGTGTTCTGCGTGATTCCTGAAGGCGTCGAACTTGACAGTACGTTCGACTGCCTGGAATTGGTGAAGTCAATTTACGGCCTCAAGCAAGCGTCGCGAGTGTGGAACGAGACGTTCGACGAGTATGTGTGCTCCATCGGATTTCAAGTATCGGACTTCGACCCATGTCTCTACATCAAGACTTCGGACGGCCATTGCGTGTTTATACTGGTCTACGTGGACGACGTCTTGGTGACTGGAAGCTCGCTCGAGCTGATTGCACAAACCAAGAACGACCTGAAGACGCGGTTCGAAATGACGGACAGCGGCAAGTGTGCGTTTGTTCTTGGGATCGAGCTTTTGGACGGTGAAGATGGCAGTGTGACACTATGTCAGCGTTGGTATGTCGATGATATCCTCAAGCGCTTTGGCATGGAGGATTGCAAGGCAGTCGCAAGTCCAGTCGACATGAGCTCTCGACTTGTTTCAAGTGATGCAACTACCAAGGTCGATGCTCCTTTTCGCGAAGCTGTTGGTGCGTTGATCCACCTGACCACTGCAACGCGTCCGGACATTGCGTTTGCTGTGGGCTATGTGTCGCGGTTCATGGAAAATCCCCAAGAAGAACACTGGGTTGCAGTTAAGCGTATCTTTCGCTACCTACAAGGCACCAAGACGCATGGAATTTGCTACAAGCCAAGTGCAAGGATCGACTTCCGTGGATATTCGGATGCGAATTGGGCTGGTGATCTTACCGACCGCAAGTCAACATCGGGGTACACGTTCATGCTACTCGGTGCGCCAGTGAGTTGGGGCAGCAAGAAGCAGCCAAGTGTTTCGTTGTCCACGACTGAAGCTGAATACATCGCACTCAGCTTGGCGATTCAAGAGGGCAAGTGGATTCATCGTCTGCTTTGTGAGATCGTGATGGCTGCCAATGAAGAAGGACCGGAACTCATGATTCATGAAGACAATCAGTCATGCATCAAGATGACGAAGAACCCGGTCAACCACGGCCGTGCCAAGCACATTGATATCAAGTACCATCAAATCCGTGATGAGGTCAAGCGCGGTGAAGTGAAGCTCAAGTACTGTGAAACTGCGGTGATGTTAGCGGACATCATGACGAAGGGACTTCATGGACCACGCCACAAGGAGATGACGACGGCTCTCGGGATTCGTGAGCATTCGGATTGAGGAAGCGTGTTGACGGTCATCGGTTTTCTACCAGTGTTGGTAACCGTGACCGATCCAATCCGAACCGCCTGTTCAGCTTAGTATTTACGACGTAGTTCTTACGGTAATTACCATAGTTGATTAGACGCGTAGGATGATGAGACGCTTCACATGATTTATATGTACACCACATATAAATCATGTAGTAAGTAGTAAGCCCCGATAATCAATCACTTTCGAATCTTCCAACTATTGGGCAAGTGTTTTCTGCTCTACTCTCTTCGGTCTCTCCGCTCCGTTCGCTCCGCTTTCCTCGCTCCGATCTACAATGCAACAAAAGTCAAGTTCATTCGACACGATGGTGCACGAAAATTTTCGACAGCATCGCTCAAGGCATTCTACGACGATCAAGGAATCGAGCAGCAAGTTGTCGTTCCAAATGCGCATCAGACTAACGGCACAGAGGAACGGGCAATTCGGACCATTGTGACGATCGCACGCAGCATGCTTCACTACGCCAAGCTGGACAAGTGTTTTTGGGCTGAAGCAGCAATGACGGCGATCTACATCAAGAATCGTCTGCCTTCACCCAAGTACCAAGATCAAACCCCGTTTAAGATCGTCAACGGATTTGTTGAAAAGACAGCGGCTGTGAAGAAGACACCTCGTCAAGCTGCGTCAAGTGTTGAAGCAAGTGGAAGACCAAGCTTCGCTATACCGGTGGGTACCGGTATGTACCAGTAAGGGCGAAGTCAGGAAATGACGTCACTGGATGACGTCATTGCATGACGTCAGTGGGTGACGTCAGTGGGTGACGTCACTGGATGACGTCAGTGGGTGACGTCACTGGATGACGTCACTGCGAATAATAGGCTTAGAGGTAGTATTCAAAGTTGCGAACTAAGTACCTATTATAAATATATATTTACTTTGCGTTTTGCACTCGGACCAAGAAGTCTAAAGTTCATCAGGTTATGAGCCCAAGTTCGTCAGACTCTGAAACCGCCAACAATTCAAGCTTAGCTGCCATGGACGCCTCCTCCCTCCGCATCTCCAAGTTCGATGGAACTAACTTCCACGCCTGGAAGTTCAAGATGCAGATGTTGCTGGAGGAACGGGACCTATGGGAGGTCGTCAGCGGTGAGATCAAGGCGGAACAGTGCGAGACTCAGTTGGACCAAGCGACGTACAAGAGGAAGTCAAGAAAGGCAATGGCAGTGATCTGTCTAGCCATGGAAGATTCCCAGCTACCGTTGGTCCGGTCGGCAAGTGGTGCATGCGACGCATGGTCAAGGTTGGAAGACCACTTCGAGAAGAAGAGTCTTGCCAACAAGCTGTTCTTGCGCCGTCGCTTCTTCACGACAATGATGGAAGAAGGCGACGATGTGCTCGAACACATCAACAAGCTCAAGACGCTGGCGGAACAGCTAGAAGCGGTGGGGGCTCCAGTCTGCGAGGACGATCTGGTGATCACACTCCTCGGCAGCCTGAGTGACTCGTATCAATTCTTGATCACAGCTTTGGAGTCGCGCTCAGACACTCTTAGCTGGGAGCTCGTGACGTCTCGACTGCTTCATGAAGAAATGAAGCGGAAGGAGCAAGGAAGTAAAGGTGATGAAGCTTCGCAAGGTCAAGCGTTCATCACGAGGGACAATCAGCGCAAAGGGCGACCAGTGAAGAAGTCCTGGCCGTGCCACAATTGCGGAAAGATTGGTCACTGGATGGCGGAGTGCCCCTCGCGCATCCAAGAAAACACGGAGAGACACCGGCCACAGCGTGCTCAAGACAGCGGCGACCGCTATCGATCACAACGTGCAAACGTCGCTCAAGAAGAAGACTCGGGCGACTACCTCTTTTCGATCGGTGAAACGACATCTGCGAAATCGAGCGACATCTGGCTGGTCGACTCCGGGGCGACGCAGCACATGACGTGCTCCAAGAAGTTCATGCGGAACTACAAGGGGTTTGACGCTGTGGATGTCCATCTCGCGGATGATGGAATCGTCCAAGCAATCGGCAGTGGGGACATTGTCATGTCGATGAAGACACCCCAAGGGATGAAGAAAGGTGTGCTCACAAACGTGTGGCACATCCCAAAGTTATCCAGAAACCTGTTCTCGGTCGGCCGCTTCACCAAGGATGTCGGCCCAGTGACGTTCACGAAGGATGGGTGCTATGGAGAAGCGAAAGGGACCAAGTGGAAAATTGGTGCCCGTGAAGGTAAAGGACTGTTCAAGCTGCAAATGACTCCAGTGGCGCCGGAACAAGCAAATGCAGCCAAGTCGTCGGGATGTCAAGGGGGCACCAAGTCGTACCTCTGGCACCTTCGGCTTGGCCACATAGGTCACGATGGACTCAATTGCATCGTGACGAAGAACATTGGAATTGGCATCGACATATCTTCGGTGAAGAAGTGGGACGTGTGTGAAGGTTGTGCTCTGGGAAAACAGACTCGAGTGCGCTTCCAATCAAACACTACAGCTCGCACCTCCAAACTCCTCGAAGTGATTCACAGCGACGTATGCGGACCGATGTCGATGGCAACTTTCAGTGGAAAACGGTACTTCGTGACATTCATTGATGACAAGTCAAGATACTGTGTCGTCTATCTGCTCAAGAGCAAATCTGAAGTTGCGGCGAAGTTCATGGAATACGCTGCGATGGCCGAAACGCAAACCGGAAAGCGCGTGAAGTACCTTCAAAGCGACAATGGGGGTGAATACAAGTCCGACAAGCTGGCACGATTCTGCGCGGAACGGGGAATACAACAAAGGTTCACACCCCCATATACTCCTCAGCTAAACGGAGTAGCTGAGAGAATGAATCGCACGCTGGTCGAGTGTGCGCGTTGCATGATGGAACACGCTGGACTGGGAAAGAGCTACTGGGGTGAAGCAGTGATGACGGCGATGTTTCTTCGAAACCGCTGTCCAACACGTGTCATTCACCAAGACAAGTCTCCATATCAAGTGTGGACGATGAAGAAACCGATTCTGGCCAACCTTAAAGTGTTTGGATGCCACGCGTATGTTCAAGTGCCTCAAGACAAACGCACGAAGTTCGACTCCAAGTCATCACTCTGTCGTTTCCTGGGATACGCCGAGCACCAGAAGTCATATCGATTTGAGGAAGTGTCAACAGGAGCGATCAAGATCAGTCGCGATGCCACATTCATGGAAGACAAGTTTGATGAAGGTCCGCGCAACTACAACGATGAGTCAAGTGTCGTTGAGTTTGATGATCATGATGAGGACGAAGAAAAAGAAGAAGGTAAAACTGACGACGACATGGACTCGAGCGACGATGACAACGAAGACACCAGGTCTTCGAAGAGCACCATCAAGAGACACACGCGCAATCAATCACTTGAGAAAGCTACCGTCATTCCAAGTCCCAAGCGAAGAACATACAGAGGTCAGTCGCTTGAGCATGTGTCAGCGGCTGCAATGGATTTTGAAGCAGCCTACATCGTTGATTCAGTGGGGGAAACGCCGACTACATTCAAGTCGGCGATGGAATCAAGCGACTCCGGCAAGTGGAAAGAAGCGTGTGACTCGGAGTTCGATTCGCTTCAGAGAAACGACACGTGGGAAATCGTGCCTCTTCCGAAAGGTCGCAAGGCCATCGGGTGCCGATGGGTTTTTCGTGTAAAGGAGAATCAAGATGGCGAAGTTGAACGTTTCAAGGCAAGACTTGTGGCCAAAGGATTCTCACAGAAATTCGGAGTTGACTATGAAGAAACTTTCGCACCGGTGGCCAAGTTCACATCGATTCGTGTGGTGCTCAGTATGGCGGCTAAGTACGGCCCTAATGCTACATCAGATGGACGTCAAGACAGCGTTTCTTAACGGCTCCCTCAACGAAGACATCTACATGGACCAGCCGGACGGATACCTGGATGCAACACAGCCGGACTATGTGTGCAAGCTAAAGAGATCACTCTACGGCTTGAAGCAATCGCCTCGCATGTGGAACCAAACAATCGATGGGTTCATGATCAAGATGGGATTCAAGAAGTGCGAATCGGACCACTGCATCTACATCAAGCGAGACGACCAAGACATGATTCTCGTGGTGCTCTACGTCGATGATCTCATCCTGGCCAGCAGCAACAACGAACTCCTCAAGTCAACCAAGATGGCGCTGAGCAAACGCTTCGAAATGACGGATCTCGGTGAGCTCGATTACTTTCTCGGCATGGAGATCAAGAACGACCGTAAGACGGGAATGGTGACTGTACAACAAACCAAGTTTCTCAAGTCCGTGTTGACCAAGTTCGGAATGGATAACAGCAAGCCAGTGAAGACGCCTCAAGATCCCGGCCTGAAGCTAACCAAGAACATGTGTGAACAAGAATGCAAGCACGAAGACACCATGTGCAACGTGCCATATCGAAGTGCTGTCGGAGGCATCATGTATCTCATGGTCGCCACACGTCCGGATCTAGCTGCTGCAGTGGGATCATTATCCCAGTTCTCGTCCGACCCATGCCCGACTCACTGGCAAGCTTTGAAGCGTGTGCTGAGATACCTGCAAGCAACGCCCAATCACGGTCTTGAGTTTACACGTGAAGAAGGAAGCCGTATCTGCGGGTACACCGACGCAGACTGGGCCGGCGACATTGAGTCAAGACGAAGTACAAGCGGCTATGTGTTCATGATGAGCGGAGGATGCATCAGCTGGAAAAGCCAGAAACAACGGACGGTCGCGCTATCTTCAACAGAAGCAGAATACATGGCGCTTTCCGAAGCAACCAAAGAAGCAGTATGGCTCAAAGTGCTTTTGGGGGAACTTGGTGAGATGACAAGCGACGAAGCGATCAAGATGTATGAAGACAACCAAGGATCAATCGCTCTCGCCAAGAACCCGGAGTTCCATAAGAGAACAAAACACATCGACATACGCTACCATTTTGTGCGTGAGAAGGTGGAATCAGGTGAAGTCGTTTTGGAGTATTGCCCGACTCAAGATATGCTGGCAGACATGACGACCAAGCCGATCGCCGCTGTACAATTTGAAAACATTCGCGATCGACTTGGGATCCAAGGTGCCGCAGCTAACGAGTCGAGAGGGAGTGTTGAAAAAGACAGCGGCTGTGAAGAAGACACCTCGTCAAGCTGCGTCAAGTGTTGAAGCAAGTGGAAGACCAAGCTTCGCTATACCGGTGGGTACCGGTATGTACCAGTAAGGGCGAAGTCAGGAAATGACGTCACTGGATGACGTCATTGCATGACGTCAGTGGGTGACGTCAGTGGGTGACGTCACTGGATGACGTCACTGCGAATAATAGGCTTAGAGGTAGTATTCAAAGTTGCGAACTAAGTACCTATTATAAATATATATTCACTTTGCGTTTTGCACTCGGACCAAGAAGTCTAAAGTTCATCACAGCAGCATCATACCAAACGCGACGTTGCTTGCCTTGACGTAGTCATCGGACGCTCGCGGGTCGGTGAAAGTCGGAGTCACTTCACGGTTGACAACGTGCCAGACGGACTTCGTCAAAAACACACCGCGCATGTACCGGCTCCACGTTGCGTAATTGTCTCCGTTGAACTTGTCAATGGAGGCGTTGCTGGTGGACGACATGGCGCTTGGGCTCATAACCTGTTGCATTGTAGATCGGAGCGAGGAAAGCGGAGCAAACGGAGCGGAGAGACCGAAGAGAGTAGAGCAGAAAACACTTGCCCAATAGTTGGAAGATTCGAAAGTGATTGATTATCGGGGCTTACTACTTACTACATGATTTATATGTGGTGTACATATAAATCATGTGAAGCGTCTCATCATCCTACGCGTCTAATCAACTATGGTAATTACCGTAAGAACTACGTCGTAAATACTAAGCTGAACAGGCGGTTCGGATTGGATCGGTCACGGTTACCAATACTGGTAGAAAACCGATGACCGTCAACACGCTTCCTCAATCCGAATGCTTACGAATCCCGAGAGCCGTCGTCATCTCCTTGTGGCGTGGTCCATGAAGTCCCTTCGTCATGATGTCCGCTAACATCACCGCAGTTTCACAGTACTTGAGCTTCACTTCACCGCGCTTGACCTCATCACGGATTTGATGGTACTTGATATCAATGTGCTTGGCACGGCCGTGGTTGACCGGGTTCTTCGTCATCTTGATGCATGACTGATTGTCTTCATGAATCATGAGTTCCGGTCCTTCTTCATCGGCAGCCATCACGATCTCACAAAGCAGACGATGAATCCACTTGCCCTCTTGAATCGCCAAGCTGAGTGCGATGTATTCAGCTTCAGTCGTGGACAACGAAACACTTGGCTGCTTCTTGCTGCCCCAACTCACTGGCGCACCGAGTAGCATGAACGTGTACCCCGATGTTGACTTGCGGTCGGTAAGATCACCAGCCCAATTCGCATCCGAATATCCACGGAAGTCGATCCTTGCACTTGGCTTGTAGCAAATTCCATGCGTCTTGGTGCCTTGTAGGTAGCGAAAGATACGCTTAACTGCAACCCAATGTTCTTCTTAGGGATTTTCCATGAACCGCGACACATAGCCCACAGCAAACGCAATGTCCGATAAAAAGGAAAGCTGATGGACCCATCGAGAAATGCAAGGCGCGTCTCGTGGCAAAAGGGTTCAAGCAGAAATATGGCATCGACTACACGGAGACGTTTTCGCCGGTAGTCAAGTACGTGACGCTGCGCATGGTAGTTGCAATCACGAAGTACTTTGACTGGACACTGGACCAACTGGACGTGATGACAGCTTTCCTATACGGAGAAATGAAGAGCAGGTATTCTGCGCGATCCCAGAAGGGATCGAAGTTGATGAAGACTTTGACTGCTTTGAACTGGTCAAGGCGATCTACGGACCAAAACAAGCATCGCGCGTATGGAACGAGACTTTCCATGAGTTCGTCTGCTCCACTGGATTTCAAGTATCCGATTTTGACCCGTGTCTTTATCTCAAGATTACAAGTGGCGAGTGCGTGCTTTTGCTGGTCTACGTTGATGACGTGTTGGTGACTGGCAGCTCGACTGAACTGATCATGCGCACCAAGAGTGACTTAAAGGCGCGTTTCGAAATGACTGACAGCGGCAAGTGCGCATTCGTGTTGGGCATCGAGCTGGTGGACCACGACAACGGTAGCGTGACGATGTGCCAGCGACGCTACGTGGAAGATGTTCTCAAACGTTTTGGCATGAGCGACTGCAAAGCCGTCACCAGCCCAACAGACACCAGTTCTCGACTCATACCAAGCACCGCAGCAATGAAGTTCTCCATATCAGCGCCAAGCTGAGTAGTATCTGTGCCAAGATGGAGGATGAGGACGTGGCGATCTGCTTGTTGTGCAGCCTCCCCAAGAGCTACGAGAACGTCGTGCTGAACTTGGAGATGAGCAGCGCGGAACTGCGGACGCAAGACGTCGTGATAGTGCTGACGAGTGAGCACATCAAGAGACAAGGAAACAAGGAAACAAGACGACGTCGGTGAAAACTGAAGAAGCGACCAAGGCCTTCAGTACCGAGCGTGAGGTTCGTCAGTGTACGTTCTGTGGAAAATTGGGGCACATGGTGGTAAAGTGCTGGACCAAGCAGAAGGAAGACAATCGGGGAGCTCGACGCGGCGGCAATGCTCGTGGACGCGGAGCGAATCAAGTTCAGTGGAAAAGCTACAACGGCAACAACAACTATGACCATGATTGAGTGGCGTTTTCTGTTTTGCTGGAATGCGGACTTTCAACGACCAGGAGCATGTCTGGAATGTGGGCGATTGACAGCGGTACAACACATCACATCTGCTATGACAAGTCCAAGTTCGAAGTTATGGACGAGCGCAATGAAGGTGAAGTGTTGGTTGCAGATGGGAACAAGGCTGCGATCAACGGTGTCGGGACAATCGTCGAAAAGGTGGTCCTGTCCAATGGTGAAGAGCGCGAAGTCAAGATCAAGAACGCGCTTTACGTCCCAAGCATGAACAAGAACTTGCTTTCGATACCACACATCAACAAAAGCGGCAAGTTTCAAGTGGTGTTTGATCGTGACGAGATGAAGATTTCGCACAAAGGCTCCAAGCAAGTAATGGCGATGGCCGATCTTGTGGATGGCCTCTACTGGCTTCGTACATCCCAACGATCCGTGAATGCGGCTTCAGGACCAAGAGCCGAAAATCTTCATGCGCGTACGGGCCACGCACCGGTTGATGTCTTGTGCAGAATGGTCTCCAAGGGCACGATCAAGGATGCCAAGAAGCCAACAAAATTGAGCGGATCAAGCGTGTGTCAAGGTTGTCTAGAAGGAAAATAGTTCAACGACCGTTCCCAAGTAATCCAAACAAGCGCCAGTATGACCCGTTTGAGCTCCTACACATCGACACTTGTGGTCCAATGGAAGTCGACTCGCTAAATGGAAGCAAGTACTTGCTACTGATCGTCGATGAAGGTAGCGGATGTATGAAGGGTTTCAGTCTGCGCGCCAAGTCCGACAGCGAAGAGTGCATCAAGAAGTACATCATGGCAGTACAGACGCAGTTTAACTACAAGGTCAAGTTCATTCGACACGATGGTGCACGGAAATTTTCGACAGGATTGCTCAAGGCATTCTACGACGATCAAGGCAGCAAGTTGCCGTTCCACATGCGCATCAGACCAACGGCGCGGCGGAACGGGCAATTCGGACCATTGTTACGATCGAGCGCAGTATGCTTCACTACGCCAATCTGGACAAGTGTTTTTGGGCTGAAGCAGCAATGACGGCGATCTACATCAATAATCGCTTACCATCGCCCAAGTGCCGAGATCGAACCCCGTTCGAGATCGTCAACGGATTTCGACCAAGTGAGAAAGAAGCACATGCGGGTTTTCGGCTGCCGAACGTTTGTGCTGACCCCTAATGAAAAGAGATCGAAATGGGATCCGAAGGCTCGTGAAGGACTATTCATGCGGTACGAAGAAGTGTCAAAGGCATATCGCGTTTACGACATTGAAGCGGACCAAGTGGTGATATCTCGCGATGTCACATTCGACGAATCAACGTTTGGTTTCTCGCCGACGCTACCACAAGAAATTGTTGATGACACTGCGCTGGATATCGAATCGATGAACATCAGCGATGAGCCTCACCCTATGCAGTTCAAGCAAACACGAAAACGCAAAAGCCGTTCAAACAGCCAAGAACAAGTTCTAAGAAGGACACTTCCTGAGCGTCGTGGAACCGGGTTAGAAGAAGCAAGTGCCCCGGATGACTTTGAATCGCACCAAGCGAAGCGACGGTCAAGCGCTCTATTGAGGGTTACCGATACAATTCGAGCTTAAGCGTAGTTTTTACGGGATAGTTTTTACATCGGTAATTACCTCAGAGATGATTGGACGCGTAGGATGATTAGACGTGTGTAAATCAGGTTGATTAGATGAACTATGTGATTGGATGCAGTCTAGGGTAGGCAGAGTTAAGACATATGAACCAATCACTTTCCAATCTTCCATCTACCCCCAAGTGTCTTCTCCGGTCTTCCAAGTGGACTACCAGCATCCCTCCCAGTTTCGGTCGTAAAGCTTCACACCTTTCAACAGGTTATGAGCCCAAGTACGATGTCCTCTGCTCATGATGCCACCACCAAGATCTCCATTGACAAGTTCAACGGCGACAACTACGCGACATGGACCCGCTACATGCGTGGCGTGTTCCTGACCAAGTCGACGTGGCACGTGGTGAACCGGGAGACGTCGCCGACCTACGCGGACGATCGCGCCATGGACGACTACGTCAAGGCCAACAACATCGCTTTCGGACTGATGTAGCTGCACATGGAGGATTTTTTTTTAAATTTTTAATTTTATATTATTTTTAAAATTATATTTGGACGCGGACTACCATCACATCGTCGATGACTGTGAAGATGCGTGGGTCGCGTTTGAAGACGCTGCACGGCGGGTCGCAGAAGGCTGGACGCATCTACTTGAAGCGCCAGCTGTTCAGCATGGAGATGGCGGAAGGCGGCAATGTGATGCATCATTGCAACGAAGTCCTCAACATCAGCGCGAAGCTCAGCAGCATCGGCGCCAAGATGGAGGACGAGGACGTGGCGATCTGCTTGTTGCGCAGCCTCCCCAAGAGCTACGAGAACGTCGTTCTCAACTTGGAGATGAGCAGCGCGGAACTGCGATCGCGAGACGTCGTGAGAGTGCTCACGAATGAGCACATCAAGAGACAAGGTGACAAGACGACATCGGTGAAGACTGAAGACGCGGCGAAGGCGTTCAGTGCCGAGCGTGAACCTCGCCAGTGTACATACTGCGGAAAATTGGGGCACACGGCGGAGCGGTGCTGGACCAAGCAGAAGGACGAAAATCAAGGTGGAGCTCGACGCGGCGGCAACAATGCTCGTGGACGCGGAGCCAACAACGTTCAGTGGCGAACCAACAGCAACTACGATGACAACTACGATCGAGTTGCGTTCGTGGTTTCGCTGGAGGCTGGACTTTCGACGGGCAAGAATATGCCAGGGATGTGGGCAGTCGACAGCGGTGCGACGCATCACATCTGCAACGACAAGGCCAAGTTTGCAAGCCTGAATGAGCGAGAGGAAGGCGAACTATCAGTGGCTGGTGGCAGCAAGGCTGCGATCAAGGGTGTGGGAACCATCATGGAACGGGTGGTTCTGCCCAATGGTGACCAACGCGACATCGAGATCAAGGATGCACTGTTCGTACCAAGTATGAGCAAGAATCTGCTTTCGGTGCCACAGATCAACAAGGGTGGAAGGTTCCAAGTCGTGTTCGATGGATCCAAGATGCAAGTGAAGCGCAAGAATTCCACACAAGTCGTGGCAACAGCGGATCTCGTCGATGGACTTTACTGGCTGCGGACTCCTCAACGATCGGCAAATGCAGCAACACGCAATGGGACTATCGACTTGCATGCGCACATGGGTCATGCACCCCTCGAAGTTCTGCACAAGGTGGTGGCCACCGGCATGATCAAGGACGCCAAGGCACCTCTCAACTCGACTGGTCCAAGTGTGTGTCGCGGTTGCCAGCAAGGAAAGATGGTCCAAAAACCATTCCCAACCAACCGTGACAAACGCCAATATGGTGTGTTCGAGTTGCTGCACTTCGACATCTGCGGGCCAATGGAACAAGTCTCGATCGGCGGCAGCAGATACTTACTGCTTGTGGTTGACGAAGCCAGCGGTTGCATGAAGGGCTTCTGTCTGCGGTCCAAGTCTGAGAGTGAAGACTGTATCAAGAACCACATTATCAAGATTCAAACTCAGTTCGGCACGAAGATCAAGTTTGTTCGGCACGATGGAGCGCATGAGTTTGCGACCAACTCCATCAAGACCTTCTACGAAGATCATGGTATCGAACAACAGATCACGGTGCCGTATGCACACCAGACCAACGGCACCGCAGAACGCGCGATAAGGACCATCGTCACGATCGGACGCAGCTTGTTGCATCATGCAAAACTGGAGAAGTGTTTCTGGGCTGAAGCGGCAATGACGGCGATCTACATCAAGAACCGCCTGCCTTCACCCAAGATCGACCACAAGACTCCGTTCGAGATCGTGTACAAGTCGAAACCAAGTGTCAAGCACATGCGCGTGTTTGGATGTCGGGCGTTTATCCTGACACCAAGGGAGAAGCGATTGAAGTGGGACCCGAAGGCTTGTGAAGGGATGTTCATGGGCTACGAAGAAGCGTCAAAAGCTTATCGAGTGTACGACATTGAGGCGGGCCAAGTGGTGATCAGTCGTGACATCACCTTCGACGAATCGACTTTTGACTTTTCGATGGACCGACCAAGTGACGATGATGAAGATGCGGAGTTGGACCTCGACCTCCTGGCGATCAACGAGGACGACGTGCGTCAAACCGTCTACAAGCAGACTGGCAAGCGCAAGAGTGAAGCAAGACCCGGCATGTCACGGTCAGCTCGCCCTCGAACTGGGTTGGAACAAGCAAGTGCGCCGGAACACGTCTCCAACCGTCACCAGAAACGACGATCAAGTGCTCCAGAAACGATGTCTGATGACGAAGAAGATGCAAGCGTGTACGATCAAGATGACGACTCGACGCCTCCAACATTTTGGCGTGCAAGTGCAAACGCAGTGGAAGCAACGGACCTAGCAGAACCTGTGACTTTTCAAGACGCGATCAATGGTCCTGATCAAACTCACTGGCGAAATGCTGTGAAGGCGGAACTCAAGTCGATGCATCTTCGTGGAGTTTTCCGTGCGGCAAACTGCCAAGAGGCCAAGGCGCGATCGGCAACAAGTGGGTGTTCAAGATCAAGCGCAAAGCGGATGGATCGGTCGAGAAATACAAGGCGCGTCTCGTTGCCAAGGGCTTCAAGCAGAAGTACGGCATCGACTACACAGAGACGTTCTCGCCCGTGGTCAAGTACGTGACACTGCGTATGGTGATCGCGATCACCAAGTATTTCGACTGGCCACTGGACCAACTCGATGTGGTGACAGCCTTTCTCTACTGAGTGATGAAGGAGAAGGTGTACTGAGTGATTCCAGAAGGCGTCGATATGGATGGCGACTTCGACTGTCTCGAGTTGGCGAAGGCGATCTACGGTCTCAAACAAGCTTCACGTGTGTGGAACGAGACTTTCGACGAGTTCGTATGCTCTATCGGTTTTGAAGTGTCGGCGTTTGACCCATGTCTCTACATCAAGGTTTTCGACGGTCACTGTGTGCTCGTGCTGGTCTACGTGGATGACGTGTTGGTCACCGGCAGCTCGCTCGAGTTGATTGCGCAGACGAAGGCCGACCTCAAGACGCGTTTCGAGATGACCGACAGTGGCAAGTGTACTTTTGTACTGGCCATCGAACTGGTGGACGAATCGGATGGCAGCGTGACGATGTGCCAGCGACGGTATGTCAACGACATCCTCAAGCGCTTCGGCATGGATGAGTGCAAGGCCACAGCAAGTCCGGTCGACTTAAGCACTCGGCTTGTCGCAAGCAGCGAAGCGGCCAAGATCGACGCTCCGTTTCGTGAAGCTGTGGGAGCTTTGATGCACTTGACGACTGCGACGCGCCCGGACATTACGTATGCTGTGGGGTACGTCTCGCGCTTCATGGAGAATCCGCAGCAAGAACATTGGACGGCGGTGAAGCGCATTTTTCGTTACTTGCAAGGGACCGAGTCGCACGGACTCCGTTTCCAGCCAAGCGACAAGATCGACTTTCGTGGCTACTCGGACGCGGACTGGGCCGGCGACCACGCTGATCGCAAGTCGACTTCGGGTTACACTTTCATGCTGATGGGTGCTCCTGTGAGTTGGGGAAGCAAGAAGCAGTCAAGTGTGTCGCTGTCGACGAGTGAAGCGGAATACATCGCACTGAGTCTGGCCATCCAGGAAGGCAAGTGGGTGCATCGCCTGCTATGCGAGATTTTGGCGGCCGCAAACGAACCAGGACCGGACCTCGTCATCCGTGAAGACAACCAGTCGTGCATCACGATGACGAAGAATCCGGTGAATCATGGCCGCGCCAATCACATCGACATCAAGTACCATCACATCCGTGATGAGGTCAAGCGCGGTGAAGTGAAGCTCAAGTACTGTGAAACTGCGGTGATGTTAGCGGACATCGTGACGAAGGGACTTCACGGGCCACGCCACAAGGAGATGACGGCGACTCTCGGGATTCGTGAGCATTCGGATTGAGGGGGCGTGTTGACGGTCATCGGTTTTCTACCAGTATTGGTAACCGTGACCGATCCAATCCGAAACCGCCTGTTCAGCTTAGTATTTACGACGTAGTTCTTACGGTAATTACCATAGTTGATTAGACGCGTAGGATGATGAGACGCTTCACATGATTTATATGTACACCACATATAAATCATGTAGTAAGTAGTAAGTCCCGATAATCAATCACTTTCGAATCTTCCAACTATTGGGCAAGTGTTTTCTGCTCTACTCTCTTCGGTCTCTCCGCTCCGTTCGCTCCGCTTTCCTCGCTCCGATCTACAATGCAACATTGTGGAACCGGGTTAGAAGAAGCAAGTGCCCCGGATGACTTTGAATCGCACCAAGCGAAGCGACGGTCAAGCGCTCGAGCCAATATGGACGAAGAGCGAAAGGGCAGTGACGAAGATAACGAGGATGCTACACCTCAAGTCTTTTGGAGAGCGAGTGCCAACACAGTCGAATTTACTGACATTTCCGAGCCGACAACGTTTGAAGATGCTGTTGGTGGACCAGATCAAGTGCATTGGCGTAAAGCAATCTGTGCCGAGCTGGACTCGATGAAACTTCGTGGCGTGTTTTGAGCGACCAAACTGCCAGATGGACAGCATACCATTGGCATCAACCCTGGGTATTCAAGATAGAAAGGAAAGCTGATGGATCCATCGAGAAATGCAAGTCGCGTCTCGTGACAAAAGGGTTCAAGCAGAAATATGGCATCGACTACACGGAGACGTTTTCGCCGGTAGTCAAGTACGTGACGCTGCGCATGGTAGTTGCAATCACGAAGTACTTCGACAGGACACTGGACCAACTGGACGTTGTGACAGCTTTCCTATACGGAGAAATGAAGAGCAGGTATTTTGCGCGATCCCAGAAGGGATCGAAGTTGATGAAGACTTTGACTGCTTTGAACTGGTCAAGGCGATCTACGGACCAAAACAAGCATCGCGCGTATGGAACGAGACTTTCCATGAGTTCGTCTGCTCCACTGGATTTCCAGTATCCGATTTTGACCCGTGTCTTTATCTCAAGATTACAAGTGGCGAGTGCGTGCTTTTGCTGGTATACGTCAATGATGTGCTGGTGACTGGCAGTTCGACCGAACTGATTATGCGCACCAAGAGTGACTTAAAGGCGCGTTTCGAAATGACTGACAGCGGCAAGTGCGCATTCGTGTTGGGCATCGAGCTGGTGGACCACGACAACGGTAGCGTGACGATGTGCCAGCGACGCTACGTGGAAGATGTTCTCAAACGTTTTGGCATGAGCGACTGCAAAGCCGTCACCAGCCCAACAGACACCAGTTCTCGACTCATACCAAGCACCGCAGCAATGAAGTTCTCCATATCAGCGCCAAGCTGAGTAGTATCGGTGCCAAGATGGAGGATGAGGACGTGGCGATCTGCTTGTTGTGCAGCCTCCCCAAGAGCTACGAGAACGTCGTGCTGAACTTGGAGATGAGCAGCGTGGAACTGCGGACGCAAGACGCCGTGATAGTGCTGACGAATGAGCACATCAAGAGACAAGGAAACAAGGAAACAAGACGACGTCGGTGAAAACTGAAGAAGCGACCAAGGCCTTCAGTACCGAGCGTGAGGTTCGTCAGTGTACGTTCTGTGGAAAATTGGGGCACATGGTGGTAAAGTGCTGGACCAAGCAGAAGGAAGACAATCGGGGAGCTCGACGCGGCGGCAATGCTCGTGGACGCGGAGCGAATCAAGTTCAGTGGAAAAGCTACAACGGCAACAACAACTATGACCATGATCGAGTGGCGTTTTCTGTTTTGCTGGAATGCGGACTTTCAACGACCAAGAGCATGTCTGGAATGTGGGCGATTGACAGCGGTACAACACATCACATCTGCTATGACAAGTCCAAGTCTGAAGTTATGGACGAGCGCAATGAAGGTGAAGTGTTGGTTGCAGATGGGAACAAGGCTGCGATCAACGGTGTCGGGACAATCGTCGAAAAGGTGGTCCTGTCAAATGGTGAAGAGCGCGAAGTCAAGATCAAGAACGCGCTTTATGTTCCAAGAATGAACAAGAACTTGCTGTCGATACCACAAATCAACAAAAGCGGCAAGTTTCAAGTGGTGTTTGATGTTGAAGAAATGAAGATTTCGCACAAAGGCTCCAAGCAAGTAATGGCGATGGCCGATCTTGTGGATTGTTGACGGTCATCGGTTTCCTACCAGTGTTGGTAACCGTGACCGATCCAATCCGAACCGCCTGTTCAGCTTAGTATTTACGACGTAGTTCTTACGGTAATTACCATAGTTGATTAGACGCGTAGGATGATGAGACGCTTCACATGATTTATATGTACACCACATATAAATCATGTAGTAAGTAGTAAGCCCCGATAATCAATCACTTTCAAATCTTTCAACTATTGGGCAAGTGTTTTCTGCTCTACTCTCTTCGGTCTCTCCGCTCCGTTCGCTCCGCTTTCCTCGCTCCGATCTACAATGCAAGAGGTTATGAGCCCAAGCGCCATGTCGTCCACCAGCAACGCCTCCATTGACAAGTTCAACGGAGACAATTACGCAACGTGTAGCTGGTACATGCGCGGTGTGTTTTTGACGAAGTCCGTCTGGCACGTCGTCAACCGTGAAGTGAATCCGACTTTCACCGACCCGCGAGCGTCCGATGACTACGTCAAGGCAAGCAACGTCGCGTTTGGTATGATGCTGCTGCACATGAACGCGGACTACCATCATGTGCTGGACAACTGCGAGGAAGCCTGGGTTGCGTGGACAAGTCTGAAGACGCTGTACGGTGGGTCGCAGAAGGCAGGACGCATCTACCTCAAGCGACAACTTTTCAGTATCAAGATGGCTGAAGGCGCGAACGTCATGCATCACTGCAACGAGGTCCTCAACATCTCCGCCAAGATTAGCGGCATCGGTGCGAAGATGGAAGACGAAGACGTTGCAATTTGTCTGCTACTCAGTCTTCCGAAGAGCTACGAAAATGTGGTGCTCAACATGGAAATGAGCAGCACCGAGCTTCGCACTCAAGATGTGGTGAGAGTCCTGACGAATGAGCATGCCAAGCGTCAAGGAGAAAAAGGGACAACGACAGCGACTACGGTGAAGGCTGAAGATGCAAGCAAGGCATTCAGCGCCGAGCGTGAGCCCTACCAATGCACGTATTGTGGCAAGGTGGGACACACGGTGGATCGTTGCTGGACAAAGCAGAAGAACGAAGGTCGGGGAGCCCGACGCGGCGGCAATGGTCGTGGACGCGGGGCTAACAATGTCCAGTGGGGACATCATGATGAAGGCAATGGCTACGATCGAGTGGCGTTTGCAGTCTCGTTCGAATGTGGAGTTTCGACGAGCAAGGTGTTGCATTTTAGATCGGAGCGAGGAAAGCGGAGCAAACGGAGCGGAGAGACCGAAGAGAGTAGAGCAGAAAACACTTGCCCAATAGTTGGAAGATTCGAAAGTGATTGATTATCGGGGCTTACTACTTACTACATGATTTATATGTGGTGTACATATAAATCATGTGAAGCGTCTCATCATCCTACGCGTCTAATCAACTATGGTAATTACCGTAAGAACTACGTCGTAAATACTAAGCTGAACAGGCGGTTCGGATTGGATCGGTCACGGTTACCAATACTGGTAGAAAACCGATGACCGTCAACACGCCCCCTCAATCCGAATGCTCACGAATCCCGAGAGCCGTCGTCATCTCCTTGTGGCGTGGTCCATGAAGTCCCTTCGTCATGATGTCCGCTAACATCACCGCAGTTTCACAGTACTTGAGCTTCACTTCACCGCGCTTGACCTCATCACGGATGTGATGGTACTTGATATCAAAATGTGCTTGGCACGGCCGTGGTTGACTGGGTTCTTCGTCATCTTGATACATGACTGATTGTCTTCATGAATCACGAGTTCCGGTCCTTCTTCATTGGCAGCCATCACGATCTCACAAAGCAGACGATGAATCCACTTGCCCTCTTGAATCGACAAGCTGAGTGCGATGTATTCGGCTTCACTCGTGGACAACGAAACACTTGGCTGCTTCTTGCTGCCCCAACTGACTGGCGCACCGAGTAGCATGAACGTGTACCCCGATGTTGACTTGCGGTCGGTAAGATCACCAGCCCAATCCGCATCCGAATATCCACGGAAGTCGATCCTTGCACTTGGCTTGTAGCAAATTCCATGCGTCTTGGTGCCTTGTAGGTAGCGAAAGATACGCTTAACTGCAACCCAGTGTTCTTCTTGGGGATTTTCCATGAACCGCGACACATAGCCCACAGCAAACGCAATGTCCGGACGCGTTGCAGTGGTCAGGTGCATCAACGCACCAACAGCTTCGCGAAAAGGAGCATCGACCTTGGTAGTTGCATCACTTGAAACAAGTCGAGAGCTCATGTCGACTGGACTTGCGACTGCCTTGAAATCATCCATGCCAAAGCGCTTGAGGATATCATCGACATACCGACGCTGACATAGTGTCACACTGCCATCTTCACCGTCCAAAAGCTCGATCCCAAGAACAAACGCACACTTGCCGCTGTCCGTCATTTCGAACCGCGTCTTCAGGTCGTTCTTGGTTTGTGCAATCAGCTCGAGCGAGCTTCCAGTCACCAAGACGTCGTCCACGTAGACCAGTATAAACACGCAATGGCCGTCCGAAGTCTTGATGTAGAGACATGGGTCGAAGTCCGATACTTGAAATCCGATGGAGCACACATACTCGTCGAACGTCTCGTTCCACACTCGCGAAGCTTGCTTGAGGCCGTAAATTGACTTCACCAATTCCAGGCAGTCGAACGTACTGTCAAGTTCGACGCCTTCAGGAATCACGCAGAACACTTGTTCCTTCATGACGCCATACAGGAAAGCTGTCACCACATCAAGCTGGTCGATGGGCCATCCAAAATGCTTGGAAATTGCGATCACCATTCTCAGCGTCACATACTTGACCACAGGAGAAAACGTCTCCGTGTAGTCGATGCCATACTTTTGGCGGAAACCCTTGGCCACAAGTCGTGCCTTGTACTTCTCGATAGATCCATCCGCCTTGCGCTTGATCTTGAACACCCATTTTGTGCCAATGGCGCGTTGTCCGTTGGGAAGCTTGGCTGCACGAAACACACCGCGAAGTCGCATTGACTCGAGCTCTGCATGAATTGCTTTTCTCCAGTGCACTTGGTCAGGGCCGCTTACTGCTGCTTCAAATGTTGAGGGCTCTGATAAGTCCACTGCTGCTTCAACGGCATTTGCACTCGCACGCCAAAACACAGGCGGTGTTGAATCACCAGAATCCTTCGTTTCTTCGTCTTCTTCTTGGCGTGACGAGTTGTTTTCCGGCGCGCTTGACTCTTCTAGTCCTGGTCGTTGACGCACTGCACGCGGTCGTGGAGCTGCTGTATCTTCATCATTGAGTCGGTTCTTGCGCTTGCCTGTTTGCTTGTACTCCATTTGACGCAGCTCTTCGTCATCAAGATCCAGCAATTCGAAGTCCAGGTCATCGACATCTTCATCAGTGATCGGCAGTTGAAGTCCAAAGGTGGACTCGTCGAAGTTGACATCGCGGCTGATAACCACCTGCCCCGCCTCGATGTCATAAACACGATATGCCTTCGAAACTTCTTCGTAGCCCACGAATATGCCAGCGCGAGCCTTTGGATCCCACTTGAGTCGATTCTCTTTAGGCGTCAGTATGTATGTCTGACACCCGAATGTTCGCATGTGCTTGACGCTTGGTTTCAAGTTGTAGACGATCTCAAACGGGGTCTTGTGCACGACTTTAGGTGACGGCAGTCGATTCTTGACGTAGATGGCCGTCATCGCTGCTTCGGCCCAGAAACAATTGTCCAGTTTGGCATGATGAAGCATGCTGCGGCCGATCGTGACAATAGTCCTAATGGCACGCTCTGCTGTTCCGTTTGTTTGATGTGCATACGGCACCGTTGTCTGCTGTTCAATGCCTTCGTCTTCGTAGAACAGTTGAAGCGAGTTGGTTGCAAACTCGCGAGCTCCGTCGTGTCGCACGAACTTGACCTTCTTACAGAATTGCGTCTGTACCATGGTGATATATTTCCGGATGTAGTCTTCACTCTCGGACTTCACTCGTAGACAAAAGCCCTTCATGCATCCACTGGCTTCGTCGATGATCAGCAGCAAATATTTGCTGCCACCGAGCGAATCCTTTTCCATGGGCCCGCAGATGTCCAGATGAAGTAGCTCAAACGTATCGTAGCTGCGCTTGTCTCGGTTGCTTGGAAATGGTTTTTGGACCATTTTCCCTTGTTGACATCCTCGACATGTAGTTGCTCCACCCGACTTGAGAGGGACTCGCACATCCTTGATCATGTTGGTCGCGATCATCTTGCGAAGTACATCGACTGGAGCATGACCCATTCTCGCATGTAGATCGGCACAACTGGTTCCACTTGTTGTCACATTCGCTAATCGTTGAGTCGTCCGAAGCCAGTAGAGTCCATCCACGAGATCCGCTGTCGCCACCACTTGCTGTGAGTTCTTGAGAGTCACATACATCTTGGACCCGTCAAACACGACTTGAAACTTGCCATGGCTGTTAATCTGTGGTACCGAGAGCAGGTTCTTGCTCATACTTGGAACATATAGCGCGTTCTTGATTTCGATCTCACGCTCTTCACCGTTGGGCAGAACCACCTTTTCCATGATGGTTCCCACACCCTTGATGGCCACCTTGTTGCCATCAGCCACCAAGAGTTCGCCCTCATTGCGCTCTGCCAAACTTGCGAACTTGGTCTTGTCGTGGCAAATGTGGTGCGTTGCACCACTGTCGACGGCCCACATTCCAGACACGTCCATGCTCGTCGAAACTCCACATTCGAACGAGACTGCAAACGCCACTCGATCGTAGCCATTACCTTCATCATGATGTCCCCACTGGACATTGTTAGCCCCGCGTCCACGACCATTGCCGCCGCGTCGGGCTCCCCGACCTTCGTTCTTCTGCTTTGTCCAGCAACGATCCACCGTGTGTCCCACCTTGCCACAATACGTGCATTGGTAGGGCTCACGCTCGGCGCTGAATGCCTTGCTTGCATCTTCAGCCTTCACCGTAGTCGCTGTCGTTGTCCCTTTTTCTCCTTGACGCTTGGCATGCTCATTCGTCAGGACTCTCACCACATCTTGAGTGCGAAGCTCGGTGCTGCTCATTTCTATGTTGAGCACCACATTTTCGTAGCTCTTCGGAAGACTGAGTAGCAGACAAATTGCAACGTCTTCGTCTTCCATCTTCGCACCGATGCTGCTAAGCTTGGCGGAGATGTTGAGGACCTCGTTGCAGTGATGCATGACGTTCGCGCCTTCAGCCATCTTGATACTGAAAAGTTGTCGCTTGAGGTAGATGCGTCCTGCCTTCTGCGACCCACCGTACAGCGTCTTCAGACTTGTCCACGCAATCCAGGCTTCCTCGCAGTTGTCCAGCACATGATGGTAGTCCGCGTTCATGTGCAGCAGCATCATACCAAACGCGACGTTGCTTGCCTTGACGTAGTCATCGGACGCTCGCGGGTCGGTGAAAGTCGGAGTCACTTCACGGTTGACGACGTGCCAGACGGACTTCGTCAAAAACACACCGCGCATGTACCGGCTCCACGTTGCGTAATTGTCTCCGTTGAACTTGTCAATGGAGGCGTTGCTGGTGGACGACATGGCGCTTGGGCTCATAACCTGTTGCATTGTAGATCGGAGCGAGGAAAGCGGAGCGAACGGAGCGGAGAGACCGAAGAGAGTAGAGCAGAAAACACTTGCCCAATAGTTGGAAGATTCGAAAGTGATTGATTATCGGGGCTTACTACTTACTACATGATTTATATGTGGTGTGCATATAAATCATGTGAAGCGTCTCATCATCCTACGCGTCTAATCAACTATGGTAATTACCGTAAGAACTACGTCGTAAATACTAAGCTGAACAGGCGGTTCGGATTGGATCGGTCACGGTTACCAATACTGGTAGAAAACCGATGACCGTCAACACAAGGACGTGTCTGGAATGTGGCCCGTCGACAGTGGTGCAACGCACCACATTTGCCACGACAAAACCAAGTTCGCAAGTTTGGCAGAGCGCAATGAGGGCGAACTCTTGGTGGCTGATGGCAACAAGGTGGCCATCAAGGGTGTGGGAACCATCATGGAAAAGGTGGTTCTGCCCAACGGTGAAGAGCGTGAGATCGAAATCAAGAACGCGCTATATGTTCCAAGTATGAGCAAGAACCTGCTCTCGGTGCCACAGATTAACAGCCATGGCAAGTTTCAAGTCGTGTTTGACGGGTCCAAGATGTATGTGACTCTCAAGAACTCACAGCAAGTGGTGGCGACAGCGGATTTCGTGGATGGACTCTACTGGCTTCGGACGACTCAACGATCAGCGAATGTGACAACAAGTAGAACCAGTTGTGCCGATCTACATGCGAGAATGGGTCATGCTCCAG